CACACGCAGTGCTTCAACCCACTAGTAGTTTCAGCGCGTCAAGCCCCAGTCCTCGACGACGGGCCGGAGACGGATAGCTAGGGTTTGACAGAAGGGGGGGGGGGGGGGGGCAGCTCCAGGGTTTCGCCACCACACGCGGCCTAGGTGATCTCGAGCATGCAGATTAAGATCAATCCGGGCTCGGAAAACAACACCAAGATGGATAGGTGTAAGGTGAGGTTGGGTGGGATACTGAACATACCTACACTTCGCTTGTGAGTTTGGAAATTGAGGAATGGTGTGGGAGGGATGTGATGGGCGGGTTAGAACTTTAAAACAAACGGGCTCCCAACACACATGTCACCGCCTCAAAAGCACACGGGAGTTCTAGTACTACATTGATTGAACTATGATTGGCGGAAAGATTGATGGAGGAATGGGGGCTCGCCAGTGTGTCTAGTACGATGTCCTTTTATGCAGGCGGCTATGGAAAGCAAGAGGTACTGAGTCCTAAACTCGAAGTTGGGCTGGCCAATAAGAGTTGCAACCTCTTCGCCTTGGAGATGTCAACCACCGTCAAAACCCACAAATCCCGGCGCCCCTTCTCACTGGCCGTATTTTGCGCCTAGGCCGCTAAGCGGGCCGAGCACCTCCCTTTGTCCCTGGTCCAGCAGGCGTCCCGGCTGAGGGACGAGTGGAGGCGCTCCGGCCCACGTTTGCGGGCGGAGCCATGGGCGGGCGGGCACCTCCCTTTGTCCCTGCTCTAGCAGGCTTCCCGTGGAGGGGGTGAGTGGAAGGGCTCCGGCCTAAGGTTGCGGGGGGGCCCAGGGGCGACCGACCCATAGGTGTTGGTTTCAGAGCCGAGTTCCCAGTGGGAGACTAGGGCGAGGACGGCCTAGAAGCAGGATGTCCAGGAGGCGGAACCGGGCCATGGCGGCCGACGCTGAGTGCCGACATACCTCGAGTGAGCTGGGCGACCGAACTCGGCGAGGAACCTCCGGCAGGAGGTTGCGGTTTAGGATTCGGAGGCCCGGCACCTTCAACCATGCCGCGGGCGCTTATGACTTCGCTGCCATCGAACACCTCACTACCGTAGGCAGTGGAACCCGACTTCCCACTCCCGGCCGTGCCCGGTCGAGGCTGCTGCTGTTGCTGTTGGCGAAACTGCACCTGCGCTTGGCGTATCTGCTACAGCAGATTCTCCCGCGTGTCCTCTCCGTCAAAACCACCCGCGTTGCCGTTGGAAAGTAACCTGGCGTTTATTTCTAAAGTCTCGCCAACGGTTTTACAATTCTGACAAATCGAGCGTAGTGTAAAAATAATTGGTTCTCCCTTCGTGACTCCACAAACGACGATGCGTAGCCGTTCTTGCCCTGGTCCAGGACACCTCTTGTGTTCACGTTCGAAACAGTAGAGAACGCCGTCCTCGGCATGCACCTGGCGGTTCACCCCCCTGCATTTTTTTGTCGCAGCATGCCATATGGGCGCTTCCTTGTTTCCGTTGTCCCAAAGAAGGTCAAAGAATCTAGTTCGAGGGATGGTGCTGTGGAAAATCTCCCAGTGTTTTTTGTCGGTATTGGCATCCCAGTGATGGTAGCAAAGTGTCGCAACGTAACAATTGTTAGTAGCTCGGGTGAAACACTCGCCGTCCACGTTGTTATTTGCAATGACCCATTTACAACATCCAGATCCGTAATCAAAAAGCTCTTTCCAAGTCGGCCGTGCCGTCAAGTTTCCTCGTCTCTTAATCCAGGTAGCGCCTCGTTTGTATTCGCCACCTTGTTCCATGGCGTGTTCGGCACCATTATTAGTGGTCGGAATGGCGTCAGTCATTATGTCAAACAAGACGATGTGTGATACAGGAAGGAATAGAAGGGGGGGAGGACAAAGGATATAAGAGGCGGAGAGTGTAGGTGTTAACTCGGGTAAGGTAGTCACTAAGGCAATGAGGAGAAGAGAGGCGGATGACAAGCTAACACTTGTCCAACGAGAAGAAGTCGTAGTGATAATTCTCGGCCAGCGAGAAAAAGAGATTCAGGTGTAAGTGCAGTAAAGGAGGTATGCAAGGGAGGCTGTTGATACCAAAAGGAAATGGATATATTCTACCTGGGTATGAACCTTGGTCTTATATCGTTTCTATCCCCGGCCCCCTCCAACCAAGACACTTCCAACAAGCCCTCTCATGAGTTCTTCGTTTTGTGGCCGAGCACCGAACTTCCGGGTGAGCGAAGCGTGACGATGTAGACCCCAAACCAAGAGCAAAGTAACCATGGCCGCGGCGCCGCCTGAGACTGACGTCGGCCAGCTTAATTAGGCCTTCTTCCACCCGAAGTATTTCCCATTTGGCTGCTGGGGGTCTTAGCGCACGCTACGGCCTACAAGCCGCCGCCCAGGCCATTCCCATCGGTCGTTGGTACATACTAACACCCACGCCGCTCATCTGGCGTTGGCTGGAGCAGATATCTCCAAGGCATGATGCTTCTGACCTCATCTGATAATTACGCATCAGATCAAATTCGGCCGCGGTCAGCCACGGCCGGGTAGGGAAAGGCGGAGACGTCGCAGCCAAACCCGGCCTCTGGCTAACATTGGGTGCCAGCGGTGCCGTAGCACCTCGGTTACCGTCCAGCGGCCCAGCTGAAATGGACGCACACGACCATCGAACCAACCCAGCAACCTGATGGAACATGGCCAGGGCCCAGCAGCAAAAAGCTCCTCGACGCGCCGTTGGCTGAAACGCTAGGCTTCGGTCAATGAATGTGGTCGTCTGGATTGGCGACCAGCTCAACCCAACATCTGATGATCATTTTGATGTTGTGCCCCGGAGACCCGCCGTCTGGACCTTGCTGTGCGGCGGTTGCGGCATCCGAAGTAGGAGGCCCGGGCTGCCCTGGCCTGACGGCCCTAACGGCCCTGGCGACCTGGCCCACATTCGGCCCACATCTCCAACTGCCTACCTTACCTTATCAACCAACCTGGTAGTTAACTACGAATACTGTAGGGAATACCAGGTATCGCGATAGCGTTAGAAGCACAGGGAATCCCTTCTCTCTGGAGGGACGTGCTACATTCGTGGTTCAGTTGGATCATGTTCTTCTATCTAGAAATGAGGGGGGGGCAGATTTTGCAGCCGGGGTTGTCGTCCCCGAGGTCCAGGACCACGTGACGACTGCCCCAGCGGTAGATCCCCCCCTGCCCTCCGTCACGTCCCCGTGCGAGGACGTAACTCTGGCGTAGATATTCCGACAAATACCTTCCTTACCTACACAGTAGAGGTGTTTCCTGTGCCGCATGCAACCCGCAATCTGACCCCACCAACACTAACACCCAACATCAACACCAACGCCAACGCCAACACCAACGCCAGCCGGTGAACTTCAGAAGAAGTGAAACAAAAACGCAAAAATGGAAATGGAAGAACCGTCACCACTATTGCGCCTCACCCCCCTCATCCGACGCCGCATTTATTCTTTCGTTGGTTTGGTATCGTGCGACCCCCTGCGACCACACAAATTCGACCTGCATGGCCACGACACACTGGTGACAGAGCAGCCCAAGGCCAGCGCCTTCCACGGCTTGCTCCTTTCCTGTCGCGCCATTTACGCCGAGGCCGCCCCTCTACTGTACTCGGCTAGCCGATTCGTTGTCCACTATACCCATGATGATGACCCTGAACCGCTGAGGCCTCTGCGCGCTCTCACTGCAACGTCGCTCGCGTCCTTGACCGCCCTCACCATTGTCCCTTAACCAAGCCTCCTGCCACCATGACTTTGACCACCGCGGCTACCACTCATGGTGCTGCCTCTACCGCGCTAGATTCGGGTTTGGTCCGCAGACCCATGGCAGCGTTATCTCACCAACGCTCACAGCATAACAGGCGTGCTTGCCCCAAGTCCAGCATACCTCAAACCCAGCGACAAAAGAAATGGCAACGACAAGGACAACGACGCCCAGTTTGCTGCGGCCCAACAGTTACTCGCCAGCTGGCACTCCGCTGCTGCCCGTTTGTCCCACATCACTAGCGGGCAACTCGACCTCGGCCTAGTCTGCGACATTGATCCTCATCACGAACGAGCGCTCGAGCTTGCCACATCAGCCATAGCGCCGCTCAGATGGATGCCAAAGTTGAGAGCCTGCCATATCCGCCTCAGTAAAACACCAGACCCTCACCTCCAGCGCGTTGCCCAAGACGCCGTCTTGCAGGCGCTCCGTATCCCTACGCCTCCGTATTCCAAACCCTCGACCAAAACCACGTTCATAACCCTCCCGGCTGAGCTTCGCCTCCAGATCCTCGAGTATACAGACCTCATCATCCCAAGCAGGGAAGTCACATGGAGCAGGCAGGACCAAGGCTACCTCGTGTTCGCGAGAGAGTCGAACCAATCGCCCGACCGCAAGCACCGCGTCCAGTTTTCGCCTTGCACCCATTACGAGGGAGAACACACCTTGATCGGTTGTTTTTGCCGCCGTCGCCACACGGCGTTTTCACTTACATGCAAGTGTTGGGCCCCACCTGGGCCTACATTATTCCTTGTTTGCCGTACGCTGTGTCGGGATGCACAGCTCACCTTCTTCTCGGGCAACCATTTCATCATCCACGATTATTGGGCCGACCCAGCCTGGACAATACCATTCATCGATATGCACGACCAAGAAACAAGACCTGAACGTCGCTATGAATACCCATACGAACGGCTAGGCGCCTCCCAGTTTTTACGAGATGTTGTACCCCCTCATTGCCTCGCCCATCTTCGCTTCCTCGAGCTAGTTTTTCCCCAGTATCTCCCAGAGAGCTGGCCTCAGGCCGAACAACCTGCAATGAAAGACTGGCGGAAAACCATAGAATGGGTTAAGGACAAGATCCAAGCCCCCAGTCTTACCATTCGCCTAGTGGGGGCTGAGCACGGCGACTGAAGCCTGAGAATATTCACTGATACCATGACCACTTCCCAAGGGGACGCCATTATGAGATCGTTTGAGGAACTGCTGCAGTCTCTGAAACCTCTAGCCGACAACGGTCTCGCCCGGTTCTATGCCCACATCCCCTACCCCTGGCGGTTCGTCGGGGAGCCACAACCTTACTGGGCGAGGTGGGATTGGGTGAACGCCCAGGAACTAGCATTGAAGGAACGTGCCGAACGTTTTGTCATGGGGGACCGCTATGGAGAGCAATATGCAAATGGCAGCAAGGAGCCAAGGTTCAGCTTTTGGACCTGGGCTCGTTTCGCACAAGACTGAGCCAGCTTGTGTTATAGGCCGGAAGCGTGAAACACTGAAAACCCGTCGCAATTCAGAGTGACGGGGAGTAGCAAACCAAACAGAAAATGAGAAAACTCACAAATTTCAAGGCAATGCGATTCGTTCCCTCAGCGTTGTGACGATGTGGTAAGCAACGGACTTAAGGAGTTGGAGGGTATTTTATTGCAAGGTTCTTCTCCACATTCCCCAACGCCCTGGGTCTGTCCACATCTCGAGCATCCAGATCAACCTCATATCACCCTCGGCCTCGCAGATCAAGAGGATCCAAGCGGCGCCGAGCAGTTGCCATGCCCCAGAGTAGTAGTCCTCTAAGAAGCCAATGTACTACTAAAGCAATACGGACTACCTAACAAGTTAAGGTCTCGTCGTTATCGGGTTGCCGCGCAACACTGTATGCTACCTAGGTAGCTAGTGTTACTGCTTGATTGGCCGATCCAGCACACACCCACCCTGAACGGCGCCATCACAGCCTGGGTCACCGCAGTCAGTCCCCCAGCCACCACCAAACAAACAAAACAAGCGAGCCACCAAAGGTATCAAACAAGGCAAAGACACCGATCCATTCGATCCACAACAAAACAAGCGCGAGGCATCCGTTCAACAGACTGAGCGACCCCCGGGCCCAAGAGAAGCCGCGCCACCACCCTTCCTACGCGTCCGTGGTCTTCTCTAGTTCCGGTTCAGCTATCTCGGGCTTCCGCCCGGCTCCGCCATTCTCCACCGTCTCATCGTACTCAACGGCAACTTTCCTGACTGTAGCGGCCATCTCGTTCGCTTCCTCAGAAGTGACCGCGACGGCCTCCCCAACACGGGGGGCCGGTTCCACTGCCTCGACCGCCCCCGTATTGTCATTGCGAGGCCCAGTATCCGTCTCCACCCTGTCCGGCACATCCTTCTTCACATCCTCATCATCCGAGATCTCCTTCCGCCTACCTTCCTCCTGCCCACCTTCCTCCTCCACAGCGCCCTCCACGCGCGGCTCCGGCTCCGGCTCCGGCTCCGGCGCGGGCCGATTCGAGTTCTCCTTATCCCCCTCGCTGGGCGGCTTACTCGCGTCCTTCTTCCACCAGCCGAGCACGGCCTCCTTCTCCATAAAAGGACCGGTGGGCCTTGCAATCCACGCGGGCGTCATCTCCACCTCGGCCAGGGCCTTGCGGATCCGCTCGCGCCGGGCCTTGCCTCGCAGCCGGTTCTGCGCCGCCGCGCCGTTAGTCACCCAGCGCAGGCCCGTAACCATGAAGCTGATGCCGTCGTGGACGGCGCGCTGGTGGGCGTCCTCATCGCCGACCGGCCCGCCGAACTCGCGCGACTGGATGCCGAAGCGGGTGCTCGAGGCGTATTTTTGTAGGCGGGGAAGGATGAGCACGGTGACGTGGAGGTCGCGGTTTTCGGGGACCGGCATGGGCCCCGTCTTGGGCGGTTCCGACAAGACTGTTAAGGCGGAGGTTGGTTGTTGGTTGGGCAGGTTCGCAGATTTGGAACCGTTGGCGTGGTTGTTGAGCAGGCCTCGCACATCGGAGACGCTGTACCCTTCGTCGAGGCCCAGCAGGCTCACATCCACGTCGTCGGGCCATTCGCCACGGATCCAGCCGGCATGGATGCATGCGGCGACCACGTCCGAGTCGTCCGTGTATACATCGGTGCCCCAGAGGGCCCGCCGCGACGTGATCTCTTCCCGTGCAGCCGGGATCAGATGCTCCTTGCCAATCTTCATAGTTAGTGTGCAGTTTTCCTTGCCCTCGATGAGGTCCCACGGCAGCGGTTTCGGAGTCGACTTGTAACCGTGGCGGGGCGGCCGGCCAGTGCGCGGATCCTGCAGCCGTGCTCGCTTCAAGATCGGTTCGTAGATGACGTCCCCGAGGTGCATTCGGGGTCGGTCGGCGACGCTGTCCAGAACAGCCTTCGATGAGGTGATCTGCTTCGGTTTCGGCAGGATAACGGGAGATGGGCTTCGAAGAGGAGGAGCAAGCTTGGCGCTGGGCTGGGGGCGAGGGGCGGCGTGGTGATGATGGTGATGGTGGTGGCCACCCGGTAGATCCTTGGCCAGGCCTGTAGGTGAACGTACTGGGGTGGGGCCTTTGATGTTCCTGAAAGGCGCATTACCTGTCAGCGCCGGAGAAGACACCTGTTCTAGATTATGATGATGATGGTGGTGATGATGGCTAGGAAACGTTAAGACTTCAACGTAGAACAGTGGGGAGAATAGAGAAACGTACTGGTGGTGGTGGTGGCCCTTCGGCTTCTTTGCCCGTCCTCCAACAGGTGTTAGGCGACCGGCATTTCCTTCTTCGTCCTCTTCCTTGAGCTTCCTCCGTTTGCCGCGCCCGGCCGTCTTGGCCACTTCCACCGGCGGCTCCGGTGGCACATCCAAATCATCGCGACGATGCGAAGCGGTACCACCATAGACAAGCTGGGCACCCGCTGGTACAGGACTTGAGATGGTGCCGACTCCGGTTCCGATACCGGAGAACATACGACCGAACTCGCTCTTGATACCAGGTTCGCCAGCAGGGCCGGCGAGCTGCGGCTGGGCTCCCTGTACGGCTTGGGGAAGCGGAGAAATGCGCCCCTTGCGGTTAATCTCCTGAATCCCAAGTAAATTTCGTTGGTGCGGGGCGCCAATCTCCTCCAGGCTCCGGTTCCGTGGCGGCTCATACATGGGAGGTCCCACGCCGCCGTAGGCAACGGAAGGAGGGGGGACCGCAGACTCCTCTCGGGTCCGCGGCGGGGGTTGCTGCTGGGGGTGAGGTCGGTCCATATGCATACCACCCATGCGTTGCCGATCCGGCGACTCGTAGGTTTGCGGGTGTGCCGGGCCCGGAGGAGGAAGGCCGTGCTGGTGGTGCTGATGTGGCCCTGGATGGTGACGATCAGCTGGACTGGGACCATAGGGGTGAGGAGGTCCGTTGTAGTGCGGCGCTGCATTCGGCGGATACTCTTGTTGTCTCGGAGGGTGCATGGTAGGATCATAGGGGGCTCGTGCCGGTTCGTAGCCGGGCCTTGTCCAGTCTCTCGGGTCCGGGGGCCGGCCGTATTGCTGTGATCTCGGGTCCACTTGTCGCGGGTATTCGTGAGGATGGCCTCCCTGGGCTCGGGACGGTTCCACCCCAGCCATAGCCATATCTCGACGCTCTCTTTCGCGCAGTTCTCTCTCGCGGAGTTCCATCTCTCGCTCTTGCCGTTCCCGTTCCTGCCGCTCTCGGTCCGACATGTACCGCTGGTCCTCGTATTTCATCACCCGAATGGGACGCTCCGGATTATATTCTTCCGAAGCCCGTAGTTCTTCCCTGTGGCCATACATCTCGGGCGGCCTGCCTGGTTCAGCTTGCCGTGGCGGGCCGGTATTTGCGTACTGCCTCGGCGGGCTCATCGGCCTGGGACCTCCGGCGCCGCCAGACAACCGCCCCGACTCCCTTGTTTGTTCGACCGAGGGCATCGGGGCGCCCCTGTGGGCATAAGCCTGGGGTGTGCCGTACCGTTGTAGCTCCGGGGTCGATTGGTATGCGGGAGGCGAAGCGGCCGAGACGGCTCTAGGGTCGCGGTTCTCGTACATGCGATGGTGCTCGGGGGTCTGCGGCCGTCGGAAGGCATTGTACTCGGACGATGTCGTCGGCTGTGGCCGAGGGGATGCGTGCATGGTTTGGTTGTACGGCGGGCCAGGAGGGCCAGGAGGGCTAGCGCGGATTGAAGTGGTTCTCTGAGCATATTGGGGGGGGAGCAGCTCGACTCCTCGCGCGGGGCCGGCGGGACCTCTCAGCATGGATGATATTCGACAATGCCTGCTCCCAGAAGCCTGGCGGTCTTGGCAGCGAGTTCAAGTGCAGGCAGCTCGCGCTCCACGCGGAAACGCGTTTGATGGGCCAACGGAAAGGGGAGGAGGACGAGGCTGCGGCAGACCATACGGTCCGCTCATTTGATGGTTGTTCGGACCCTGCCCTTGCTGTTGTTGCTGTTGTTGTTGGGGCGGTGAATTCGGTGGCGGCATGCCGCGAGTCATGGTAGGCCCGGAGGTTATCGAGGACGTGCTATGATGTCGAGAGTGCGTCGGACCAGGCATCGGGCCCGGGCCGTGTTCGGGCGGGTACTGTCGAGAGGCCGAGTAGTAGGACGGAGGTTCGGATGGTTTGCGCGCGTGCATCTCGGGATAGGGACCGGTGTTAGCAGCAGGCGGATGTGATGCCGACGGCGGATAGGGTGGTTGGGATGCGGCGGCGCCAGTGGGTCCTTGCTGGAATGACGGTCGCCCAAACGGCGAGGCGCCGTTCCTCGAAAAAGGGTGTTGTGGTGGTTGCCTCGAGTCCATCGTGCCGGCACGGGTGCGGTGCCGCACTAACGGTGGCCCGAAACAATGAAATATGCCCGAGCGCTCGGGTCTGTCTCTGCGGCGAGGATCTCGTGACGACGAAGGTGGGTTGAAGGGATAAAAAAAAAATCGGAATTAATACCGACGCGCGACGCGATGCTGCGATCGACGGGCCGGCAAGATGATTTTCTGGGATGCTGGAGGAGGAGGAATGGTGACCCTGGACGCGGCAAGGCACGATTAAATTTTGCGCCTTGTTCCACGTCTGGGCTGCGGTCTGGGGAAAAGAGGCGGTTGGATCACCCGACCGTGCAGATTTGGTCCCGCAAACAGACCAGCTCCAGCTCGCCCGAGCCGACAAGCAGCAGGAAAGGGCGGTTGTGTGATTGGGCAGCTGCCTGCACCAACCGGGGAAGGTGGAACACGAAAAAGAACAAGAGCCGAAAGAGCAGGGATTTGGACCTGGCGCTAGCGCAGTTTGGCAACAGGGGCTGGCTCCAGATCGAATCTGATTTTCAACACCACAAACGGCGGATTCAACAAATGGCGATCGCTCACATGCCACCACGGTCTTGCTGTGCGCCAGCATGACTTCTCTGGCACAAATGCATAGATGGACAAGTCGGGATGGTTCGAATAACAGCAAATCGCAAATGAGTAAACAAACGGAGCCCACCAACTACAAAAGTCGGAAACCTCGGTTTGATGCCTTGTCCCGGTCATGCTGGCCGCCGCAATCCACAGCGCACATCATGCATGCATTGCTTGATCCGGCGGGATGATGCCCACATCCCATTCGGTAGAAGTTACATTGTCTGCATTGCCGCACTATACGCCAGCAAAGCAGCATGGAAAAATACAGATGAGTCTTTAAATACTGAGGAGATGGTCGCACCGAGTCGCACACCGTTTGCCTTGGTGGCATGTGCATTCGCACGTCTTGCCGCCTTTTATGGGCCTGACGCAGATACCAAATCAAATGCCTGAGACGGAACAGGTCTCTTGGTTGGATGTTGGATGTTTGTCGGTTGGGCAAGTGGTGCTTGGCGGTGAGATGGAGGGAGCTGTTCGGCCGAGCTGCGGGGTTGAAAATTGGAGAAGCAGAAGCAAAAACGGGTGGGGTCGCCTTCAGTTTTCAGACGACATCAGATCAGACGGAGAACGCCTCCGTGTCCTTCTGCAACCCGGGGTATGCCTGCTAATACTTTTCTGCGAAGCAATCCTCGATAGGTAAGTGAGGTATTGAGGCATTCAGCGTACCGTAGAGAGTAATTGAAAGACGCGATTGAACACAGCAGGTACGTATTCTGTTCGCATGTACCGTATGTTACAGCCCTTGTTGTATGACATCGCAATTGGTATTCAAACACCATGCACATCCTGTCCCGAACCATACAAGGGAAAAAAAAAGAATAAAAGTAAAGACAAGAAAACAGAGAAACTTGACCCGCATAGGTATCCTACAATATCCAACTCAGGATAATCGATCAAAAGCAACCCGCACGCATTACACCGCCCTCCGCACCCTCTCCTCCCTCGTCTCAGCCGGCAAATCCCCACTCCCCCGACTCCTCGACCTCTTCTTCTCCAGCCCCTCTCCCCCTTGCTCATCCACAGCACGACTCGGCCTCCCACTGGGCACAGCCGTGGTCCGATCATCCAAATCCTCCGCATGCTTCCCCTCACCATCGCCGCCATCATCACCAACATCGACCCGCCTCCTAAAAAACTCCTCGTCGCGGTCCATGCGCGTGAGGTAGCCCTCGGGCATCCACTTGCGCGAGGTCCACGGCTTGAGCTGTGGCTGGCCGTACATGGCGTCGACGTTCTCGAGCGAGAGCGACACCGACTCGTACAGGAAGAAGTAGGCGACGAGCGTGGCGGCCAGGTTGGTGCCGACGAAGACGTATCCGTAGGCGTAGGATATGCCCGAGGTGGCGAGGGGGGTGAGGAAGGAGATCATGACTGTTTTTTGGGGTGAGGTGGTGGTTAGTATGGTGTGGAAGGGGGTGGGGGATGAGAAAAGAGGGGAGGGGGGAAGCCTTACAGTTGCCCAGCCAGTTGCCCGCGGTGGCGATGGACGCCTGTTTCGCGCGCGTCCGTAGGGGGAAGGTCTCGCCGATGACCACCCAGCAGATTGGGCCCCAGGTCATGGCGAAGGAGGCGATGAACATGGCGGCGGAGACGATCATGACGATGCCCGAGGTGCTGTTGTTCACCGGGTCCAGCGCGGTGCCCATGGACGCGAAAACGGCCATCCACGCGGCCTGCCAGAGCCCGCCGATGATCAGCGGCCAGCGGCGGCCGAAGCGCTCGACCACGTATAGGCCGCCAAAGGTCATGGCCACGTTGACGGCGCCCAGGATCAGCTGGGTCTGGATGGGGTCGTCGATGCCGGCCGACTCGAAGATGGTCGCGCCGTAGTAGAAGAAGTAGTTGACGCCGGTCCACTGCTGCAGGAAGTGGATAGAGATGCCCAGGATGGTTCGGTAGACCTGCTTGGGCACGCCGTTGCTGCGCGGGATGAAGCATTCGCCCCAGGTACCGACACCAACGGACCGCTCTTTTTCCAGGATCTCGCGCATCTCGCGCATGTCGTCCTCAACAAGTCCGTGGTGCGGGTCATCCTTCATGCCCCGCAGGCGCGCCATCGACACGCGTGCGTCGTCCCACCTTGATCGCGCTGCTAGCCATCGTGGGGACTCGGGCACCATCAAGACGCCTAGGCCGAGCGGTAGGGAAAAGGCGATGCCCAGGCCCACGACGACGCGCCAGGACGCGGCCGAGTCCTGGATCTCGCGCACGCCAAAGTTCACAATGTTGGCGATGAGGATACCGAACGTGATGAGGAGCTGGTACGAGGCCACCACGGCGCCACGGATCTCACGGGGGGAACATTCGGACTGGAACATGGGCACGCCCACGGACAGGTTACCGATGCCCAGGCCGGCGACGAAACGGCCCATCATTATGTGGACCCACGAGTTCATGGCTGTCATCTGGATGATGCAGCCAATGATGAAGACGGCGACGCCGAAGGTGAGGCTCTTCCTACGCCCCCACCAGTCCGCGGTGCTAGTCAGGGGTAAGCCAGGGGCACGTTCGGACGGAGTACGGGCGGCGTGGCTTACTATGATGCCGTGAGGGCTCCACAGAGCGTACCGATGCTCATCAGGGATACAACCAGCGATTCAATAATAGGGATGAAGTCCCTCCCCTCGGGTGTTTCCTCCTGGCCAAAGCGGTTTTTGAAGTCTCTAAACAACAGCATGCCCGATATCTGACCAGTATCATAGCCGAAGAGGAAACCCCCTAACGAGGTTATGACTCCGAGGATGAGGGCCTCAACGCCGCAGTCGGCGCCATTGATGCGGATGGACCTGAAAAGGGTGTTAGCTGTTGGTGTGGTGGCATTGGGTGTTAACATGAGGGAGGTATTGGCTGACTTTTTCCCAAGCATCCCGACGATATACAGTTCTCGACAGATTTGATGATGTGTTCATCCAATGAAAAACACAAATCACACAGCATGTACGTGTATGGGAAGAGCGTGCAAGCACGGGGCATGGGCGAACATCATCACCATGGAACTATATATTTTCCCACAGTAAATGGCCATCGACAAGCCATTGCGGACCCCAATGATGTCACTTCGGCCGACGCCGAAGGCATTGTAGCGCCTCTGGGGTTTCTGGGAGAAAATTCGTGCAGTCCGTGACCGTACCAGAAACTTGAACATGACAAGGGGAATGTGGATTTTCTGGGACCAACAAAAGAACAATGAGGTCTGCCAAGAAACGTGCTGTGACGCAATCATTCAGACGGTCCACTGCCCTAAAACACCCCTGTAAATCCGACGGTGACAGACCTTTGCTGCCAAGCTTCGAGCCGGCAGGTCCGGCAGGCAACCTCGAGGGCGTCAGGTGGTCTTCTTCGGGCCGGTTTTGGATCGACTCTTGTAAAAACCTGAGGATTCTTCTGTCATATGAGTCCCTATTGGTCCCACCGCCATCTCTCCAGGTGAGAACCCGTCACCACGGGCTTGGTCAACTCGTCAGGGAAATAATCGCGTGGCCGTCTCATCAACGGGAGTTTCTCGGCGGCAATGACCTTGCTTGACCCAAGCCACTTGCATCAGGCCGGTGGGCTGCCCTCTGGCATAGCACTTGACACAATACCGGACTCAAGCACAGGATAACTACCTACATGTTTCGCCGTCAAGAGACAAGTACGCCTGCATGCGAAAGAACAATAACTAACTGCTCGCTTTGGAATACCATACAAACTCAAGGTACCATCTCCCCAGGTAGGTAGGTTCATGTGTTCCTCCAAGTCTTTGCCAAAACGCCAACCAACCCTACTCCCCACCAACATATCACATGTATGATAGTAATAAACCACCCATCGATACACTCCCCACCCCCTCTCCCCCCTTCAAACCCTCCTCTCCAACATCCACCCCAGCACCGCCGCCGACGCGAACCCGACAAAAACCGGCGCCTGCGGGAACCCGGACGGCCCGAACTCCGGGTCAATGCCGTCCGTGCCGGGGTACAGGATCGACGCCAGCCCCGCCGCCCAGTAGATGGTGCCCGTGAAGACGGCCGCGTTCAGGGCGTCCTGCTTCCGCTGCTTCGCGAGCGCCGCCGCCGCCGGCGTCGATGCCCCCTGCGGCAGCGAGGGCCGCCAGGTGTAGTAGAGCGTGGCGAGCCCGAGGAGGACCGAGAGGGTTATGGTTTGGGCGCCGTGGAATCTGCGGATGGGGTGGATCAGTAGGTGTTGGCGGTCGAGGTTGTATGTACCTCGCTTCGCTGGGTTGGGCGGGTAAGGTGAGTGAGGGAAGGGGGAGGACTGACTTGGCGTGTGGCGGCCAGCGTGGGTTGAAGATATGCGTGTGGTTGTAGTCGGCGATGGGCGCACCGAAAAGGAGGCCTATTGCATCGAGAGTGAGGAAGAGCTTTCCGAGCATGTTGATAGGTATCCTTCAGATTTGAGTCCTTCGTTTAACTTAGAAGTCTGTCGAGGTGATAATCAATGGATGAATGAATGAATGGGCAAGTTTGTGTCGCCTTCCGTCTTCTGGATTACAGGTGGCCCATAAAGGTGTATTTATCGGATTCGCATCATTTATCAGCGCTGATAATCTCATTTGTAAAAGGTTACCACCGAGCATCCTCTGCTTCCTTCCTTCTCGTCCCAAGTAAGCCCAAAAATCCCGGTCCCAGTCGGTTGTCGTCAAACCAGGTGCGGAGCTATCGGATCTAGGAAGGATTTAACTGGATAGGTCCCATCGAGGTCCAAACCTCACACGGCAACTCAAAAACACGGGATGGCATTCTTCCGCTTACAACCGGCCCATCAGACACCGTTGTACCAAATGCGAGGTGTCAGCCCCCTTGGCTCTACGTTCCCGGCCCGGCATCGCATTCTCGTAGCACAAATGACTCCCTACGGCCCTCATACATAGCCTCCCCCATCCTTGCAATCCTAAACTTAGGTTTACATGAAGCTCAGCATCTACCTCTACCGATTCATGGCGGCCCGCGTCCGGTAAGGAGGGTGCGTCTTCAAGGCTCATCGCGTAGAAAATCGACTCCAAAGCCTGTCGCCTTCAGGGGGCCAGTAATATACTTCCTGTCTCGTCACCGTATTGATTCACGGTGGCTGTAGCCTCGGGAAGGAAGGGCAGTAGCTTCGCGTCCGGCGCCGGATGTTTGTGGCGCCAGGAGGAGGTAATCCGGCGACTCTTGGCCAATGACGATGTTATTGAACTTTACATGCCCTTAAAGACGGTTGTTTGGCCATTTGTGATCGTTAATATCATTGAGATGATATTCAAGGGGCTATGGGATGCCAAACTTGACGCTTGTGTGTATGTGGTTTCCTTTACGTGTTACCGTTTCTCTGAACTAAATGAGTGCAATGACTTGAAAAAATAAAATAAAATAATAGTCTAGCGAAGCTGCATGCTCTGTGGTTGAGTTCGCGGTGAGACTTGCCCAGATGCTTCCATTCAACTTGGAATAGGGGTAGTTAGTGGCTTCGCAACTTGGATTCAGGGCTCGTCTCTGAAGCCTCCCACAGCATCAAAATTGATGTGTAAAAATTTGATAGGTTTTACCATCGGGCCAGAATTACCCATGGACCATGGACATAAAGCTGGACATTTCGCAGCCCGACAACGATGTGATATTGCGTCTAACGGCCTGGTAGTGGCCTGGGGGTCGCCGCCACAGAGACCACCATGAAACGAAAAAGGCAAAGCGCTCGGTGACTCGTAACGCTGATGAGTCAAGGAGACCGCATGCCATAATTACCGAAATAGAGACATACTTAAGTACTAGGTGCAATAAAAACGGTGCGCTGGAGATGTTGGGTTGGATCCTCGTGGTCTCTCGATTCAGTTATGGTCCCATCAGTTGCCCAAATGGCATCCAAATGGCATGTTAGCTCTCGGTACATGAGCACGGGAAGATTTAACCGAAATTTCAATTGGCAATTTGTACTGTGTAAAGTTGGTCGTTTCTCAGAGGGGTGCAGAGAACGTCCTGCGCTTTTCTCGAATGACGGTGTTGAAGATGTGGCTATCAGCTCGCCAATGGGCCAGGTAATATGTGACGAATGACTTGTCACCGATAAAGCAGAAATGTTTGGTTGGCAGCCGAACTCGCTAATTCAAAGGTGAGGTCCTTATTTGAACTGCGCCCGAGAAAGCACTGTGTTTCCGAGTGAATCATTGGAAAGATGGGAGAATTGAGGAGATGGATTCTCATGATGATGGGATTGTAAGTTTGGAGTGTTGCCCGGCTTGGCCTGCCTGCCGCCCCTGCATCGCCCAAGTCCCGGACCAGCCAGTGGCTCCACTCTGCGCCAACCAAACCCCTCAAGGCGAAACTTTTGCCGCCCACAAGCACAGCCAGGAGAGCACCAAGATCAGCAGACAACCCAACATCAACCTCCTCTTCGCATCAGTTGACGTCCACTTCTAGTCGCAACGAACCTCAAGTCATGAGTCCACCATCGCCTAAAAGCTTCTTTTCATGTACTTTTTGAAATTATCGCGCTTTCCTTGTGACTTTTCCCGATATTTTATTTTTGACCCCCGGGCTGGAAGATGCGCTGGCCCGCCGGCATTACCAGTTGACAGGACAGCATTCCGTGACCGGGAGCCCTCGAGCCATGGCTTGGGATCGCCTTCCTGGACCATCACGGCGGGCAACTGGTATTTACCGGCTTTGCCATGTTCAAGAATCATCGCAAGTTACTGACCTCTTCCTACCCATCCCAGGCTGCCCATTCCCGATCGTTTCCATCGCCACGGCACATCACGTTTCGGGGAAGCGCTGAACTAGGGGTAGCAACCACCTGTGGGCTCCTGGCGGTTAGGGCCATGCAAACCCCCTAAGGGTCGACCCGCACACCACGCTTCGACCGCACCATCCGCTTCGCTTCTGCAACAACGCCCAAGAGAGCCAAATTCCGAATACGACCTCAACAAATATCGGAACCATGATCGCCGATAAAGCCAAAGGCATTTGTCGTACGGACCATTCTCCCGGAAGCACCAACACACAGCGCTGCGCAGGAGCATCCCTCCATTCCCAGCAGGCCTTGCAGCCTGGTCCAAAATACGAAACAACACCAAGGTTTGACCAAGCGTCTCGGGCCGCAGAAGCGGGACAACAGGCCATATTGTCTTCAGGGGATTTGGCAACAGATCTGGCAACAGGTCTGACTGGCCTCGGTGCTGCAGACTGACAAAAAGCACATCTCAACACACGGCACGCGCATGGTAAGGAAGGGTTGGGGAGCAATGCTCCTATTTGCCTGATTTCTTCTGTCTGTCTCAACTCCAGCATGCTTGACGCTCCGTTTCCTCCCTCGCTCAAGTCAGCCCCCCAAAGCCGAGAGAAGTCAGGGGCGATGCCAACGGGCGAAGAGCTCACGCCGCCCACCGCCCGCCCATGCAAGCGCAAGGGAAGAAGCAAGAGGGCAAAAGACCCGAGCCTGCCCTAAAGACCTCGCAAAAGAGCACGGAAAAAGAAAACGACGAACCCGCACCAGAACCAGCCAACCACACAAAGCCGGAGCTGAAGCGAAAGCAGCAAAAGGATGGTTGCAATCGCAAAACGCCGATTTCATCCCCCCGTCATCACCCATTCATTTCCCGCTCCCTGGAGCCGACCCAAAACCCGAGCCGCAAGCGCAAGTGCAGGCGGATGCAAGTGCTGCAGCTGACGCAGGCAGATGAATGATTGGGGTCGAGGTGACGCTCGACCGGGCGGGTGATCAATGGCCGTTATTTCCCTTCCCTCAAATTCCTTTTTTGAGCGCCGGCCCCTCCTATCCCACCTTGGCCTGCCTCTGCTGGCCATGAATAAAGCGGTTTTGCAAAGTGGCAGGCTGCCCTAGCCACCACCAAGACCGAGAAAAGCTTAATATGGTACACACGGTCGAATATTCCTACATCGCGGGAGAAAAAAAAAAAGAGAAAAAAAGGAAGTGCGAGGGTCAGGGCGAGAAGTCTCCGTTATCGGTGTTGATGGTACTGGCAAACTACGGCGAGTCAAGTGCCGCCGTAAAAAAGCGGGAAAGCCAACACCCTCCCTGACCTGATAACGATGTTGATGTGGACTGGACAAAGCCCCAAGCGACGATGGGATGGGGCTGAAGGGCTCAAGAATAAGCAGCGCAGCGGCCGAGACGTGCTCGGTTAATCCTCCTCCGAGTCGACCTCGTCTTCGCTCTCGTGCTCAGGCTGACCGGCGGGCTCGTTTCCGTTGCCCTCGATCGACTCCATCGGTTCCTGGCTTCCGGAGCCTTGGCGGCCCGCCTGAGCGCGGAGCTCGTTGAGCTGCTGGATGCGGCGCTCCTGTTCGCTCTTGCTCATGGGCTTGTTTTTCTTAGATTTAGCCGGCTGCTTGGATTTGGCGGTGGGAGTCTCCGCCTGCGCCGGTGTTGCCACGCCCCGCTGCCGCTCCTTTTCGATCCGCGCGTTAGGGTTGGCCTTGATCGCGATGTCGTAGAGTCTGACGAGGGCGTCCTCAGAGATGGTCTCAATATCGAGCTCAAGTTCGCCGGCGTCGTTCTCGCCCTGACCTGTATCTTTCTTGATCAGTTCAATCGCCCGCTCAAGCAGCGGGCCGTCGAGGCTAGCAAGCGACTCTATGATGATCTCTTTCTCCAAAGGCCCCATCTTCCTCTTAGGAATCGCCTTCTTGACACCGCTCTTCTTAACAACACCGCCGCCCAGACCACCACCGCCAGCCTTCTTGTGAGGCAGTGCGCCACTGGCTTTTTTGGCCTTGGGTGCTTTCGGCTTGCCTGCCTTCTTGGGAGGGAGGTTCGCAAGCTTTGCCCGCTCGCCCATCAGCTGTTTCTGCAGCATGGCAACAACGCTCTGTGCGATCTCAACATCTGTAATATCGGCCGTGCCCGAGTTAACCATTTCATTAACTTTGTTTTGCTCAGCTTGCAGGCGCTTTTGGATCGTAGCCAGCCGGTTCTCAACAAGCTTGCGCTCGTCATCGTCGGCGTCGGGCTCCGAATCAGCGTCCTCAGAGTCGGAGTCGTCTCTGCCCGCGGAGTGGGATACTGCCGCGGTGGTGACAGGCGCATGCTTGGCCATCCACTCATCCCTCTTGGAGAGTTCGGCACGGTATAAGTCCTGCAGCCTCAGCGCCTGACTGTAAACAACGTGGTCTTCCCCGTTGAAGGTTTTGCAGTTCTTGATGATGAGGTCAAAATCCTTCTCGAACTCCTTCGAAGACTGGTATTCTCCGGATCCAAGCTTGTTAGACATGGTCTGGAGGTCCATCGGCTTCTTGATGATCTTGTGATAATGCGGGATGTTGAGTGCCACCGGGTCAACGGGTTGCATAAACGCTGCGTTGATGTCATAATGCTTCGTCTTGCGGAGCTCGGTGAGCAACTCGTCGCAGAAGCGGAGATCGAGAGGAAGCTTCTTCTTGCGCTTTGTGTCGTAGACCAAATCCTTGGAGTGCGCGGGCTTCACCGGCCGCTTGGCCCGGCCGTCAGGCTTAGTCGAATCTCGCCGGATGAGCGGCATGCCATTGTTTCCGGGCGGGAGGGCGAAGGCCGGCGACTCCACTACGGCCTTTTGCGAAGGGCTGGCGGCAGGACCTTTACTATGACGGCCTGCGCTGGCTGTAGAAATGGGCGGCACGGCTGCACGAGGTTCAACATGGCGGGTCGTATGCGCCTTGGCCGCTTCCTTCCTCTCGGGCTTGGGAGGCTCGGCGGCGTACTGCTGGGACATCCGACCGAGAATTGCATCGCGGCAGGCCGTGGCCTGCTTCGTCACGTCGTGACCCTCGCCGTTGAAGGTAATCGCGTTTCGTACCATTAGTTCCAAATCATCCTTGAATCCCCCCATGTTTGCGTAAGCAGGAAGGTCACCACGCAGCTTCTTCTCCATGGTGCTGATGTCTATTGGGTTCGTGATCTTGGCCGAGTACTCGGGCCAGACCATCGGCCAGATCTGTTCGACGGGCAGACGGAAGGGGGCGCCGACTTTGGTCTTCTTGACGCCGGCGAGGACGGCGCGAATCTGTTTATTCTGCCAGTCTGTGATCGGGCTGTCGTTGAGGGAATCATCGCTAAGTTTCTTGGGCTCCGCATTCGAGGTCGCGGCTGGTTGGTCGACCTGCATGCGGTCCTCAACGGGGCCTGTCTTCACCTGCACTTGATCGGCCGCATGGTCAACCTTGGTACGCTTCGCTACGGGTTCATCTTCACTATCGATTTCATCCCGTTCCCTCGAAACCTTGGCAGGGGGTTGCGCGGCATCCGACATGTTTGCGTCGGCGGTGGTGCTGGTAGACGGGTCGGCATGGCCGTTTGTAGTGTCGGCGGCGGGGGTGGGCGCGCCGTTGGCAAGGCTTTTAGGCGTGTCGGTGGTCACTGCCGTATCCCGGGCGTCTTCCGGGACTGCCTCAATCGCTGTCGCCTCGGTCTGTTTGTCCGTGCCCGTCATCGTTGTGTCTTCCTTGTCGACCGGGGCGGCAGGGACTGCTGGTGCCTCCTTCGCAACATCGTCCGTGGCGTCCTTTTCATCTTTGATTGAACCGTCGGGTTGGGTCTCGGGTTCCGGTTGGGGGTGTGACTTCGGTGAAAGGGGTTCCGTCTTGTCTCCGGACGCCTGTTCAGTTGAAGCATCGGGCATCTCAGTGTCGCGCGTCGTAGCAGTAGCATCATCCATGTTTACCTTATCCATGCTACTGGCGATATCTTGCTCGGACTCTCCCTTCGATTTCGCGGACCGATCTTCGTCATTCGTATCGCGGGGTATGGCTTGGTTCGCAGCAAACGCGTCCTCGTTCTTGGCAAGTGAGGTATCGGCAGGTGTCTCGCCGTTTGACTTGGGCGCGTTATCGGATTCGGGTTGTGAATTAATCGGGGACGGCATGGTATGGCTGTTTCGCGGATGAAATAAGTATACGATGCAACAACAGGAGGATTAAGCGACGAAAGGATGTTTGCAACCTACCCGTTTGCCTCTAGCGCCCCGTTGGGGCCTTCCTTGCCTACCGGCAATGATGGTTGGAGCGGCTTCTCATTGAGAAGCGCGCCTTCTGACTGTTGAGTGGCCATGACTGCCATTCGGTGGTTGCGCAACTTAGGCGCGATGCGACATCAAATCGGCTGGGGCCGGTGCAAGTTAGCGACGCATGTCACGATTGCCGATCGCAAATCGAGGGTGTGGTCGCAAAAAGTAGTGCAGGTCGCTGTGTCGCGTGAAAATTCACCACGTTGCTGAAAGTCGCTGCAGATTACGTGCAGAAAGTCGCTTCAGTTGGTTGCAGCTGCTGAAATAGAATCCGCCGCACAATATGCCCTCGGGTGGCGATGGCAATGTTGGAGGTGATTTGGTGTGAATGAGGCAAATGCGAATGGTGGCGGGGAAGTGGAATGGGTATTGTGGGTGTGGGACGTGGGAAGGACCGTGCACACGCGTTGGATCGCGAGAAGCGAAATGCGAAAGGGAGAAAAAAAAATGGCAACCACTCACGAGTTCGCGAAAAATAGGGTGCTGGGGGGAAGGCTGAGAATTATAGACTTTTGGTGCCAGCCTCGTAGAACAGCGTTGGTCGGGAAGGAAAAACTCGGTTGCGGGTGTTTGGTGGCTGGTGTGGCAAGGGATGCAAAGGAGTGGCGGGGGCTCGAGGGTTGTCTTGGCTGAGACTGGTGATGTGGTTGGTCCAATAAGTGGATGTGGGCCCGTCTGTTTTTTGTACCGTGACCTCCTCGAGAAATCGGGGTTGAAAATGCGTGTCAGTCCCGGTCGGAAGCGGGTGGCTATTTATCAGAGCTGCTTGGACCCAAACTAATCGGCGGGTCCGCCTGTGAGTGGTGGGATGGTCTTATCAAGTTGTTCTGATTCACATCATTGGCCCATCAATGAAATAAGTGGGCTGCTGTGTCTGTTCCCGAATGACCCACAAAACATCTTGTCATCTCTTTCAATCTGATGAACTCTGGTCAACTGTGAAGTCGGACACATGTTAAGGCGACCATTAAGGTAAATTCCAAGCCCTACATTGCATACCTTTGGATTCCCCAAGCTATGATGAGCTTTTTTGGTGGGGGCATCTACGGCAGCATCCTTATAAAACTCGGTGCACGCAAACTCCCGGAAGCATCATCCTTGGATGCAATGGCAGTGCTGAAGCACCACAGGCACAAAGCACTTGACATGCAGTATTATGTTCATGCACCAGTTCAATGAATTATGCTCGGAGATATTCGGAGCTTTGCCGTGATAGATGTCAAGTTGATATGAACACCACCAGCTTGGTTTTTCGCACCAACACCTTTCAAGCTTTCGCACATGCACATGGATACGCGAGAATGACGCGAATTCGGGATGAACGAAACCACCCGTACTGGCACGTGCAACTGACTGAAGCCGCAACGCTCCCCACGTGACGGCTACAAGCCCCATCAGCGGGGTCCTCAGCCACAGAAAGATTAGTGGCTGGCCAGCCTGCCAAGAGAAACGGCCCAAAAAAAAGTTTGGCTTGCACCCCGAAATTTTCGTTGCGCTGCAACACTGTACCAGCGACCACAAGTTTCATTACCTCTTCTCGAGTTGCAACGTCTCCAGGACCAGGAGTTCTTGGCTGATAGTGCGACTAGACGATATCTGATTTGCAATTGACTGCTCCCTTGCGGTATTGTGCTGCTTACGAAGCCCCGACTAACCGGCGCAAAACAAAACCCAAGATGTCGACGAAGCGCAAAGCTCCGGCCACACTCGCCAAGCCGGTGGTGAGGCAAAGCGCGAAGGCGCCGGTGAGGACCAAAATCGATGAGACTAGAACCGCAGTCTCTACGGGCCTATCCTCAAAAGCAGCCTCGAAAGCGGCTGCAGATGTCGAGATGGAGGTTCCTTCTGGTTCCGACAACGATGAGGAGGGTCTAAGCGAAGACGAGACCAACGAACAGCCCAATTCCACCGCGATCACAAAGACGAGGGGGGCTCGTGATGAAATGGATACAGATGCGGTAATGCAAGACGGGGTCGACAATTCAGACGGCGAGCCGACATCGCCGACCTTTGGTGATCTTGTTCGCGGTAACTCGACGATCGACGTCCCCGCTTCCCTTGCCGCCCAGGCAGCGGCCACTCAGACATCTCGTCAGGCGGTTCAACAGCGGCCTATAGCCCCGCCCAACGCGACCTCTCTCGGCACAGTGCTGACGCAAGCGCTCCGGACCGACGACGCGGACCTCCTCGAATCCTGCCTTCAGACGACCGACGTCAAGATAATAGAAAACACCATCAACCGCCTGGACTCATCCCTCGCCAACACCCTCCTTTCCAAGCTCTCGGCGCGCATGCACCGCCGGCCGGGCCGCGCCTTTGGGCTCATGAGATGGATGCAATGGACGCTGGTCGCGCACGGAGGTGCGCTCGTTACACAACCGGACCTTGTTGCCCGGTTAGGGGAGCTCAGCAAGGTGTTGGAAGAGCGCTCCCGGGGTCTGTCGAGCCTGCTTGCGCTCAAGGGGAAGCTGGATATGTTGGACTCGCAGATGAGGTTCCGGAAGTCGATCAAGTCGACTGGCGCCGCCCGGATTCGCGGTGCAAACGAGGAAGAATTTAGCGAGGAAGAGGAGGAAGACGTGGACGAACCAGGTGTCGTATACGTGGAGGGCCAGGAGACCCTCGGCAAGGCGCTCACCAACGGGGCCATTGGGCGGATTGGCGGGGACGAGGACGATGATTTCCCGGCTGGAGCGACAGTCATCTCAGACTCTGAAGAGGAGGACGATGATGAGTTTGATGATGGGGTAGACGAGGAGCTGGCGGACGCAGAGTCCCTTGACGAAGACGAAGTTGACCATGACGATGTCGAGGAGGATGAGGAGGAAGAGAGCGACCACGAATCGTCAAGGCCACCTTCAAAAGTGCGGCGAGTGTCCGAAAGGATCTCGAAGAGGAAGTGATAGACTGGCTGAGATGTTTTACACTGTATAAACAAGAACATGAAGCAAGCGCTGTAGAATTGGGATCCCAATTTGCATCCCACGCAAGCAATACTGAGCATGAGACTTCTTTTCTGGGATCCATTTCTCCAAGTTGCACTCTCGGTTCTGGTGTAAGGTGTCTCGGCAACGGCCTCTCGTAACCATCGAAAACTAGAGCATTGATCAGCCATTCCTTGACCATGGTCACTTTCAACTCCTTGGACGAGCCAGCAGTTCAACGGCATAGAAGATGAGTGGCGCGGTGACCCTTATCGGCCTTCAAGTCGCGCTCTGGACCCGCATCCCGAGAAGAACCGAGACCCACCCGTTTCCGGCATTGCCTCGGACAACCCAGTTCGCCGATGCTTGTCCCGAGCTCGCCGCCACAAACACCGAACCGCCCACTGCTAATCACCACGAAATTATCTTTTAGGGGATTTCCAAACATCGAACCACCTCAACACAACGAACTAGACCAGTAAAAAAAAAACGCTCCAAAAATGTCGCGCCTCCTCCCCCTCCGCCACGCCCTCCCGCGCACCCTCTCCCGCACCACCACCCCACGAACACCACCCCGAACCCCAACGTCATCACCATCCGCGCGCCTCGCATCCTCCTTCCTCCAAACCGGCCCCTCCCCGCCGCGCCTCCCCGCCGACCAACAAGCCGAGTTCGAGCGCCTGCAACGCGCCGCCGAAGCCGCGCTCTCCTCCCACACCACCATCCCCGCCTCCGCCAGCTCCGCCTCCGCTCCCCCTTCCGACCCGCTCACCACCTCGCGCCACGTCTCCACCCCCTCCGGAGCCCAAACTCAAAACTCAAACACAAACAGAAGCGACTGCGACTGCGGCGGGGACGGGGATAGAAGAGCTGGGCCCGAGCGCGGGCAGTTTCAGCGGCGGGATGCGCAAGGGCGCGCCGCCCGAGTTTGCCGGCGACAAGAACCCGGCGACGGGCGAGGTGGGCGGGCCGAAGAATGAGCCGTTGAGGTGGGGGAGTGGCGGGGATTGGAGTTTTAATGGGAGGGTTACGGATTTTTAGGGTGGGTTGTGCTGCGGGATGGGGTGTCTATGGTCCATGAGTCGAGGGGGCAAGGACGGCTGGAGGGTGGGGAGAGGTGTCAGATAAACGGGGTAGGACGAGCAAAGAACTGGGGAGCGCAGAGAGGGGGAGGATGGTAGGAGGGTCATCTACGGCGATGGGAGAATCTGCTATCTCTCATTTTGGCTTTCGCAGCCATAGCCTTGTTATTGAGACTCTTCTAAGGTCATCTCGCATCACGGACGGCTCCCCTTCTCCAGGCCATATGATATCCCCCAGAGAGCCCGCTACATGAGGGATTGAGGCAATAAGATTATCTGGTTAGTGGCCTGGAGGCCGCGAAGGACACCCTACTACTGTAGGCACGTGGCTATCCCAAAGATAGTACCCCCACAGCTAATCGTGGGTACGATATTCCGCAGACAAGAGGCCATGGTCTTGAAGGACCCCCGCCGTCACCGCTCCTCTGGCGACATCTGTCAAGGCATCCGAGGGCCCTACCACAGTTATGCCGAACAGGTCTCCGACATGCCGCTTGATTTGGTTCACAAGATACACCGACGGGGAGAATTCGCCGGTGAGGAGAATAGCCTGGATAGAACTGTTAGTTGGCCTCAGAAAAGACATTTTCATGCATATCCCTAGGCTATCCGGGTTCCATCATACCTTCACACTTGTCTCTGGATGTTGCTTCCCGACACTCGCCAACTGGTCCGTGATCAACTCAATCACCCGATTCACGGGCGGGTCAAAGCAGGCACGCATAAGCTTGTTCGTTACGGCCATGCAACCGGACTCTCTATCGATGCCAGCATCCGGGTAGTCGACGGAGAGGCCGACTTTGACGGCCCATGTGCTGCCATCGTCGCTAAAGCTGTGCTTGATTCGATTGCTAAAGTCGATTATGCCTTTCGCATAGGTACGCGCAGCAATCACGGAGCCTTCTGGAAGCTTCAACTTCTTCACCCTGTCCTGCAACAGGTTGCTGAAATTTCGTACCACGGCCGTTGATCTGCCGACAATATATGGTCAGTCAAGTCCCCAGCTCGGTCCGCTGAGACCGTTAGTATTACTAGGTAGCCAAGGCGTGTGCACTTACCCACAAAAGTCCCCCGTTGGGGTGGTCAGTTGCTTCAGGTCAAGAGGATTCCCTTTAATAACTTCGTAAGTGGCTACATCTACTGCTCCCGCGCTGGCAACCACAACCAGGAAGGTGTCTGACGGCTGGGGGCCGAGCAGGGTTTTGCAACAGTACAACAGGTCTGCCACCGGCTCAGTAACGAAGAAGATCTTGTCATCATTTTCATCGCGGATGAAGCCGGCTCGGAGGGCTGAAGCACGGAGAGGGGCTCCTCCGAGACCGTCCCAGACGGGCGGGATCGCAAACCACCACCGGATTTGCATCTCTTCCATGTCGAATGAACTGCAAAGGGCGGACCAAATAGCATCGTGGAGTTCGGACAGGTAGTCGGCGACCACATCGATGTTGGACTTTCCGGTTGGAGGACTTGGGATCTGCGTGGCGTCGACATACGTCCGGTCAGGGTTCATCAAGCCCAGTATGAACCACTCCGACTTTTCCTATACGAAAACGTTAACAGCTTGGAGCAGGAAAGGTGCTGTGGGGTGTCTCGATCTCGAATCATGTGTCACTCAGGGACATACTATGCCGGGCTTTGGATAGCCGGAAGGCTTGAGGGCATCCTCTATGTCATACCCCCAACCGACTACTGTCCGAGTAGGCTCAGGGCCGTAGTAGACAACACTTGGAACCTGTGATATGTTAGCTTTGATCTCTAGAAAACAACTACCGCCTTCAAAAATACCGTAGAGTCGGTCTTGGTCCCACTCCGAGTTGGCCACTTGTCAATGATCCCCTCTTCCACAATGGGATTGGTAGCTAACGCAAAAGACACAGCGGTCTGTACTGTCCCAAAGTGTACGCCGACTACCAGGTTTCGAGTTTGCGAGGCCTTAGTGGTTGAGGGAGAACGTGTCGGAGGAATTGTCGGAGGTGGTGGTGGCTTTTTATTATACCCATTAAGATAAACTAGCGGGTCAAGGTGTAGTACTGGTTGGTATGACGCGGGGATGAATGTCTGGTGGGCTTCAGCTTCCTCCGGATCACCCCGTGCTTCGCAAAGGCGGGAGAGCAAAGCCAACGTTTCCCAGCATGAAGGATTTTCCTTTCCAAGAATCTTGCGCTTGCCCCAGAGCGCCCGTTTGCAGCACTTGTCAGCCATTGCAAAGTTGGAGCTATCCATGTGCGCGAGGGCCAAGGCGTGGAGACCGATATAGATTGTAATATCGCCCAACTTCCGTTCCATAGCGATGGGGAGAATGATGGTCTCTGCGTCAGTCCATTTCCTCTGATGCAAGCATGCATAGGCTAGATTAATTCTATCATCAACTAGATCCTGAGGATCATAGTTTGATTCGCTAGCCTCAGAGCGGTTGATCACCTTCCGGTAAAAGTTCTCGGCTTTGAGGTGGTCCCCTTTTTGCCGGCTGTCGACAGCGAGCTCTCGGAGTCGTTTAATCAGAGCCTCGTCGATATCGTCGTCCGAGTCCGAATGGTAGGACGGGTTAACAATAGTGGTTTGTGATGGGGCTCCGCCTTGTTGAGGTTGAGTGATACTCGGTTGGGGGATCCAGCTTTCAATTTTGAAGAGTTGCTCCCTCGTCAAGGGTTCGCCTAGCACGCTGCCTCCCCAAACTGTTGATCTTGGGCCTTCTCTCGTAATGGCGCTTGCATTGGAGTGAAATGTCTCAGCGACACGCACAAACTGTCGAAGATTTGTGGTGATTTGCTTGCCGTCGTCGTCCTGGCTGGACCCGGCCGGCCCGGATTGTGGTTCCGCCCCCTGATGCAAAGCAACTTCGACGCGTCCAATCTGGGATCTCAGTCCGTAGAGCATACTGAAAACGGCATCCTGAGAAGAGTTGTTGTGGATCATGAGACACCTACCAGACGTTTGTTTAGCCGCACAAGCCGTTTGTTTTGTGAAGACAGAATAACCTACACGTTGATCATCTGCAAAGCACTGGTCATGGCGGTATTGTATGATTGAACCCTGTCCTTGCATGTGACAAATTCCTTGGACCGAAGACCAAACCTGATCTGCTTTGTTGGCTTTCTGAGAAAACCTCGGCTGAAAACACGGCTGCTCTTCTCGACCTCGCCCAGGAGCTGGCTCAGCTTTCCGAGCGTGTTGCTGATGTCGCCCAATGTGGCCGTAACCACTGCCCACAGGTTTCCATCAGGGTCAATCTCGGCCAGGACGGGACGCGGGGCCAACGCGGAGGCACTGCTGATAGAGTTCAGGACTCTTCCGAGAGCCTTGATCTCATCGGATAGACCAGCAACATTCTCATCGACCGAGATGGTGTCGTCGATCCACGTGTAAAGAGTGGCAACAATCCTGGTGCATCCAGTCGCAAGCCCTGCAGCGCTGGCCGCGATGGATAGCGGATCCATATCATGTATGATGGTGGCCGACACCGGTTCCGTACAACTTTTAGGATATCACCGGCTCGGCTCAGACTTCCGCACTCTCAGGCTCGCGGCTCCCCTCCCCCGCTTGCTCAGCCTACCTTGAGGCTGCCACGCTGCCCAGTTTATGCATAATTATGTAAGACAGAGCTGACCTGTCATGTGCTAAGCCAATTTTGGCGAGGTGAGATGCTTGGGCGGCTATTCGTACATCATCCAGCCATCCTTCTTCTCCTTCCAGCCGCGTCCCTAAAAAAGGGGCCCAGGACATATTAGTGAATGCCAGTCCTAGCCGAAACGCCAAATACCACAATAAAAGAATCAGCGCTCACGTTACCCACCTCATGTCACAAATTAGAACACTTGAATGACGGTGCTCTGTCTTGGAGCGTTGGAGATCCAACGACCTCTAGTAATCATCAACCTACCTTCAGTCCTTTTCCAGCTGCATTTCAGGAATGTGTATCCTCATTCATGCCGTTGTGGGTGGGGAAGGAAGCACTGTCACGAGTGTGTAGGATGGAACAGCGTGTCCAGGTGTCCTAGTTATGGTGGAATGTTGCGTTATATAAGAGCTACAGTGACCCCTTATAACGCGCAATCGACAGAGCTACCCTAGTTCTGATCCGTAGACGGGATTATGTTGCTATCTCAAGCGGCAATGTTGTAATAGAACCCCCAACATACGCAGAGAATCACTTGTCCCGACTCGAAACAATCCCCCACGGAATGGGGTGGTTGACCTTGCCAGAAACATACACAGTTCCGCCGAAGCTGAGGCAAAGGCAAGGCAAGGAGGGGAGCCATCCGGTCAGGATATATCTCTTTGCCTCAGAGCTGAGCTACACTAAGTAAACCCCGCGCCTTGTTTCCAAGCCTACCCTGACAGCAATCCCACCCAGACCATCAACCATCCCATCTGTCTTCCGACTCAGGCCCTTTACGCCGGCTCACCGCAGGTGTTGGCCGTCTGGCAGACGTTGTTGGAGCCGACGACGCCGCAGCAGAACAGGCCGCCGCAGCACTGGCGGCCGACGGCGGCGCTAGCCCGCTTGTTGCACCCGCCGAGGTTGCCGACGCATTGCCGTTCTTGGAGCTAATAAGACAGAGAACAGACCGTGTTAGTGATTCTGAATGGGACGGCATATGGAGGGTGAGTAGGTGAGATTAGAGGAGGAGGTGGCATGTACCTCAGCTGGGATGGCGCTGGCGGCAGCCAGGGCGGCGAAGGCGAGGGCGAAAAAGCTGGTGAGTTGCATGTTGGCGTTTTGGTGTTGGTGACGAAGGCTTGGTGTGTTGTAATGAATGTGGAAAGTAAGAAGCGGTTTCAAGGCTTCTCGCGGGTCTATTTATCCCTTTTCTGGGAGCACCGTACTAAGTTAGGTAGGTAGGCTGTCTCCGGAGACTTCTCTCCCTCAAAAGACATAGCCTTCTTGGTTACGACCTTGGTTTCCGAAGGATTCAAAATAAGTTGTCATCAAGACTCAATCTGGAGCAAGATCTACGTTGCAGTCCTTTTGGTTGGCTTCGTCGCACTCCCGTCGTTGGTTCCTCGCTTTCGGTGTTGATCATCTCACCCTATAAGGCAGCATCGGATTCTGGCCCGTCCAGGTGCAGGGTCATGAGCGGCAAAAAATGTCTTAACTCTGCTGCTCTGCCAATAAAAAGCTGTAAAGGGGTGAGTGGCTCTGTTGTTCTATCCACGATGCCCCAGCGGGTTAATGCAAGCATAGTGCGTTGTCTGACTCAGATTTGACTACTCGGGCCACTGAGCTTGCACAAGGACTTAGCTTGCATAGGGCGCGACCATCTTGTACGCCGTTCAACTGTGCTAACTTTAGATAGTCATCTAGGTTCTAGTTGATGTAGGCGGGGCGAGTAAACAAGTCAGTGCTGCGAGGGCACTGGGTGGACAGGGCAACGGAAGTGATATGAAAAGGTAGAGATATTTAATAAAATACCTAGGTAGCTATCGGAGTATCCTAGTAATAATACGCGCATTATATCAAGGAGAAGCAACTTAACACAACTGCGCCGTCAACAAACTCATGGGTGATCCGACGAACCCAAGGTCTACCTCGGTCCATCGGTTGTGGGCCTACTGGCGCTCTTGCAGCCGTGTCCCACGACACTCTGGCCACCCTGCTGTCACTCCGAATAGGCAAACACTTGGCTGATCTGGCTACCGTGTGTGTTCCTGCGGAGGTCCTGATTCTCGTTGGGAACTAAGACTCTGACTCTTCCCACCCCGAGTTGAATCCTAGCCTGGGCCGTTTGTTCACCGCTATACCAGCTATTCTTAACGCTCCGTCAACAAGGAGCAACCGGTCGTAATATTATTATTATTCATACTCCGCTATGCCCTAGGGCGTGCCGGACCCTCAGCTATTTAGTGTACAGGAAAACCGTGCCCTCCCGGGCCGGGTGAAAAACCCATACCAACAATCAAGGAGCGATGCGTTTTAGTGAGCCTACATATACAAAGAGAGGAGGCCTCCTGGCCTCCGAACGGGGGCGCTTCAGGCCGCCGCTTCCAGCTCGAGCCTCCTGGCTAAGTTGTACATCGGCAGCTTCCCCGAGTCCATCAGCCAGTCGAGAACTCTCCTCGCGAGCCGTGTAGTCGTGGGATTGATACCGTGTAGAACAGAGTAAAAGTCCCGTCGTGTCCGAATTCCAGTTCTCTCCCATCTTCTAGTCAACGGTGGGGCCAAACACCACACTACCAGGTGTTCGGCAGTCTCTCGTCCCTCGCCACACTCGCAGGCAGGAGTCAGAACCTCTGGGACTCCCCGTGTAAACAAGAAGTCCCGTAAGCCTATTGCTCCCGTCCGGATTTGAATCAGCAGTGAGCTCTTCGCCTTGCTGAGACCGTCGTGCCTCCTTAGGGTTTCGTTCCGGAATAGCGTCTCCTGCTGATGGTCAAAATCGTCCGTCGGCCTGGTGATTGCCCTGCCGTCCCGTTCTTTTAACCACCTCGCTTTCCAAGCCTCTTCTACTACCCTGTTCGTATCAACGGTTCCCCCCGTCCAGCGCATGACCGTGCCCGCGGCTCTCTCCACCGCCGTAGGCCCTTGAGGTTCCAAGGTTCGCGGTCGGCTCCTGTTGCCCCTCCTCGAGCTAAGTCTCTGCTGTGTCTTGCGGCAGGCGGTGAGGACAACGCTCGCCGCCATCTTCTTGCCGCCTCGACCCTCGTCCAGATCGGGTCGTTGGAGTCGGTTTTCGAAATCTGCAAGCCGTTTGTTTAGGTACAAGTCCAATGGTGGTACCCATGTCTCTGTCTCGAGGTTACGGATGGGGGTAGACTTAAAGGCTCCCGCCACAATCCGCAAGCTCTTGTTCTGGGCCTTCCCGAGGGCCTTAGTGATGCCTTTATTTGCCGGCTCGCCTCCCACATCCGTGGGGATCGGTCGTAATATTGTAAGTTTAACTTAGGCTGCCTTCATCAACAAGGCCAAAATGAGAAATGTGTTGAATGGGAATGTTTTGCCAACAAGGAAGCAAGAGAAAACATCAACGATCACATTGATCTTCAATACTCACTTGGGTAAAATAGGATAGTGCTGGAACGGTGGAAAGAGGCGACAGCGTCTTCAGTGATCCGAGGCTCTACGGTCTCCCTCTTGTAGGGTCAAGTGCCCGGTTCATGGCCAGTACTCGGCGCGCGAGATCCAACTGTGCGGCAAGCTGGCCGTGCTCGGCAAAACGGACGGGCTTTACGGATCCTTCACCGACGATGGGGTTGCTGTCAAGTGTGTTGTGGACGCCTCAGCCCTAGTTAGGCTGGATGTCTCGCGTCGCGCGCTACTTGCCCCGGCGCCATATTAACGCGAGCCCACCTCGGGCAAAGGTGTCCATGTTTAATTGAAGAATTCGCCAGTTGATGCCATCGTTTCCTTCGCTAATTTTGAGATATGGGTGATAGATAGGGGATGAGTACGTGGCTTTGCCAGTGATAGCTTGCGTTCGGAGGTTTGAAACCACCGAGCAACCAATCAGGAAATCCCGGACATCATCAACACCGAGAGACATACGCGTCCACGGTCCGACTCATCCAACGACGACACAAAGAGTCACAGCCGTCCACACGCAAGGCTCACAACCAGGGATACGCTTGGCTCGCTCGGACTTTACCACTGACGACGGGGTTCAGGATACGGGGAGAGTTCAACTTCAAAAGGAGCCGCTCCAAACCTCCAACACCTCTCCTTGGCTTCAACATACATGTAAACATAACACCCCCATCATCCATCACCCCACGCCATCAACATGCCAACCCCCATCGCCATCATCGGCGCGGGCCCCGCCGGCCTCACCCTCGCCACGCTCCTCACGCGTCACTCCATCCCCTACACCCTCTTCGAGCGCTCCACGGCCCCGCCCTCCCCGTCCCCCTCCTTCTCCCCATCCCCCTCCTCCTCCCCATCCCACACCGCCGGCGGCAGCCTAGACATCCGCCCCGGGACAGGCCAGCTCGCGCTCCGAGAGGCCGGGCTGTTCGATGAGTTCCGGCGCATGGCGCGCTACGAGGATACAGTGGTGTCGGTGTTTGATCGGGCGGGGAGGCGGGTGTTTCGGATGGGGCAGGGCAGGGATGCGCCGGAGATTGATCGGGGGGAGTTGGCGCGGGTGTTGTTGGGAGGGGTGCCGGGGGAGAATGTTAGGTGGGGTTGTGGGTTGGAGAGGGCGGAGAGGGGGGGGGATGGGAGGGTTGTATTGCGGTTTGGGAATGGGGAGGTGGTGTCCGGGTGGCGGTTGGTTGTTGGTGCAGATGGGGCGTGGAGCCAGGTTAGAAAGCTGGTATGTTGCCTTGGTTGTTTTGTTTTGGTTTATTATGGTTGAGCTTGGATGGAGGGCTGACGCAGTTAGGTCACGGACGCTACGCCAACGTACTCGAAACGGAGCTACCTTGAGGGAAGGATCAACCGCGACAATCCGCTCTGGGGCTAGTCTTGCTCAGAGGGCTGGGGCCGGGATGTCGATGACAGTCGGGGACAAGAAGCTCATCTTGACGCAGCGGCAGGGCGATGGCTCTTACAGAACCTACTTTGGGCTCGAGGTGCCTGAGGACTTCTTCCGTGGGGAGGGGGTAAACCTCGATGATCTGGATTCGACGAGACAGCTCCTAGCGGGACTCTTCATAGGCTGGGCGGACGAATACCAGCACATGATACGCCACTCGACCGACTTCCGTGTCTGGCGGCTTTGCAGCTTTGCTGTAGAGGACATCAAGTGGAAGTCGGTCCCAGACGCAACGCTCATTGGAGACGCCGCCCACCTCTCTGTTCCGAACGGGGAGGGAGTGAATCTTGCCATGGCGGACGCACTGGACCTGGCGAAGAAGATTGCGGAACACGGGCTCGACGGCCTGGACAAGGCCGTGGAGGAGTATGAGGCTGGCATGTTTCCTCGTGGGGCCAAGTCCGTCAGCGAGGGTCTCGGGATGACCAAGTATATGTTCGCCGAGGGTCCGGGCCCTTTCGTGGACCTGATGAAGAGTTATGGTGCCGTGGATGAGTAGGGGCCGTCTAAAGGCAGTTTTATGTACGATATACGGGGTCAGTGACCATAATTGTGCTGTTCTGCTGGTTGTAAGATCACTCGCCGCTTCGTCTATTAATTTAAACGAGGAAATCACGATATCAATTTACGCTTTGAAAGAGCAAGGCACGCAGGGGTTGTGTACAACTAATGAGCTAGGCTTCATTCACGCTTTGTTATTTTGACTCCCTCGTAGCCGCAACCGTGACCTTGCATACGGCCCTCCACGCCTCAAGTATCATGGCAACTGAGTTAAAGCGCCGTACTTCCCCGGATCTTGCGAGGAGTCGTCGTCACCTTGATAACCCGCATATCATGAAGCTTGATGTCGAAAGAGATGCTCTTCCCGGTCCCCTTCTGGCCCGTGTACATCTCCTCCCACGAGTATTCGCTGTCGCTCAGGCCCGGCACATCCTTGAAGCTAACGCCGTAGGTGCCGCCCGAGGTGCCAGCACAAAGCCCAATAACGACGCCGTCGCTGAGAGGGCCGGCCCAGTACGGGTGGATCTTCCCGTTGACCGGGCCCTGCTTGCCCGGCGGGGTGAAGGTGGTGGCGGGCTTGCCCAGGGAGTCCTGGTTGATGGCGATGATGCCCTTGTTGCGAATGATGCCAAGGGTCCAGTCCGAGATCTTGTTGAGGTCGAGACCGAGGACCAGCGGGGATTTCGCGATGGCCCAGAGACCGAAGTGGATGCGCTCCTGATCGGCATTGATCTTGGACGACCCCAGGTACAGCATGTCGAGGTCGTTGAAGCCACCGGGTCCGCTGTAGCCGGAGATGGCGGCGGACGAGCTGCCAATGCGCTCGACGCTGGCCCAGTCACCCCAGTTGTCTGTGCTCATCCTGGTGGGGGTTAGTACAGGAAGTCGAGGGCAAGGCGGTGATGGCGGTGATAAATAGGAGCTTGGTTTGCTTACCTCCACGAGTGGCCGTACTCGGCACCCCATTTCCAAACCTCATCGCGACCCCAGTTGCACAGGTTGAAATGAATCTTGTGCTTGTCCTGGACAGCGAGGATGGCGTCCCGCATGGGGGCATACCAAGTCTTGGTGTTACCATTGGGCCGTCCGCAGGTCTGCGGGGGTGGGTTATCCAGGCAAGGCGTGTAACAGTTGTCGTATTTCCAGAAGTCAACCCCCCAATCGGCCAACTGAGCGACATCCGACGCAGCGTGCTTAGACCCGTCGCTTCCGGGGAAACCAGCACAAGTCTGCTGGCCGGCGCAGCCATAGAGACCAAACTTTAGGCCCATGCCGTGGATCTGGTCGACCACCGGCTTGATGCCGTTGGGCCACTTGCTGGGGTCGGGCACAAGCTTGCCGTTGCCGTCCCGGGACCGAGTTGTCCAGCAGTCATCAATGTTGATGTCTGAGCAGAGCATCTCCGGTTAGCACTTAAATGTATCATGCTAGGGTCACCACATGGACTTGGAATCTAGGCGGATACTCACACTCATACCCTAGGTCCTTGAGACCAAGAGAGATGAATTTGTTTGCCGTGTCGATTGCATACTTTGCAGAAGCAGAATTACATTGGGCAACATTCTAAGATATATTGTGAGCATACAGACTCCAGGCCGGGGGCCAGGTCTCTTACCCAACTGCTCCACCCCATATGAGGCTTTCGGCCGATTCCATTGTCCAGAGCTTCGGCAGCTTGCAGCTGGACCAAGGCAAAGAACAGAGCCTTCAAAGCGGAGTTCATGGTGGGCATGTTTGCGCCAGGGGCAAAGGTTGGTGAAAAGATGCGGGGCGGGATTGATGAGTTGCTCACTGACTTAAATCGTCAAAGAGCGGTTGTTCCTGCTTTAGACTAAATACCCCGCCCTGTGTTCGAATTCCCCGTTAGGTAGTACCCAGACGTTGGCCCGTCTAGGAAATGGCTGTCTCGGAGGCGAGAAACGGTGGATCGTCAACGCTACTGATGACTTTGAGCTTGATGTCGGATGAACCCACAAACGACGATGTTTCCCTGTCGTCGAGTCCGGGTAACGAGCTGCAGGCGGCTGAGGCGCTCCAATCAACAGTGTTGCTCTGGCATTTAAACGGTCCCGGGTGCTGGGAAATGGACTTCCCGAGCTAGTAGTGATTGGCGGACGATTAAATGTCCAGCTGATCGCTGTTCATGCAACGTCATACCCCGCGGCGAGAATGCCGGCAGCAGTTGCACTTGACGCGATCCAATGGGGACGGTGGTGTCTCGGCGACATGATATAGAGCGGATGGTATTAAGCGAGGGTCCCATTGTTGTTGACGGTTTCCGGGGAATCCTAGTTAATTACTAGGTAAGGTACCCGGGCGAGAGACGGCCCAGGTGCCGAATTAATCCAGACCATCCGCTTGCATCCATGCCACATGCACGTGTGTTCAAAGTCAAGTACGTACCTACCTACATACACATGTGACATACACGGAACTGTCAAGTTGCCAGCCGCTGAATCATGTCTTCACTGATCGCCACTGCATTTTGGCTCGTACCTTAAATGCAATATTTACATACCTGTCCATCATGATGATGCCTCATTCCCCATATGATATATCCAACGCGACGCACTCATGCCTGAGAGATCCGGTGCTTTACCCACTTCTCCAACCCTCCCACCGCAATAATCTCCTGCACATTCGGCGGCAGGTCCCCGACCTTCTGGCTCCACGTCTCGCCGCCCTCGCCCTCCGTAACCGTGACCTTACTCCTCCGCACATCCCACTCAAACCGCCACCCCGTGCGCCTCGTCGGCACCTTCTCCCCAAACTCCTCCCTTAGCCGCTTCACCAACCTCGGCACCTCCACCCCCATCAGCGCGTTGTTGATGCTATTCCTGCTGAAGATGTTCCCAAAGCTCCCCGCCACCACAAGCGGGATCCCCTTGGCCAGAATCGCCGTGGCCGCCTGCTCACGCGAGCTGCCGCAGCCGAAATTGAAGCCCGCCACGAGAATATCCCCGGGTTTGGCCAGGGACGCAAAGGAGCGGTCGTAATTCTCCATGACCACCTGCGCCATGGTGTCACGCGTGATGTCGTCCTGGTACGTGTACTTGCCCGGGTAGATGCCGTCGGTGTTGATATTGTCCGAGTCGCAAAACACAATCTCGCCCGACACCTTCTCGGGGAAGCCCGGGAGGATGTCGATGAGGCCCTCCTCGCCGGCCTGGTCCGCGGTCGCATCCGCCATGGCATTTCCAACGGCGCCCGTGGCCGCGGCCGGGCTGCTCTCCAAGCTCTTCTCGGCCGAGGAGATCATGCTCTCGGCCTGGGCAACCAAGCTCTCCAGCGCATCGGCGATGCTCACCGCGCGGTCCGCCTCGAGATCGCCGGTGCCCTCGCCAATGATGACCTTCTCAACGCCCTCGGGCTTTTCGTACCAGCCGGGTCCGGCGATCTCCCCCTTGAGCGCGCTCGCGGCAACGACTTCCGGGCTGGCGAGGTAGGCTTTGGCCTGGGGGCTGCCCATGCGGCCGTTCCAGTTGCGGTTGGAGGCGCTGATGCCGACGTCGCCGGGCTGTAGGAGGCCGCGACCGAGGCCGATGCAGGCATTGCAGGATGCGGGGTTTTCGATGCAGCCGGCGTCGAGCAGGACGCGCCAGTCGCCGGCCTGTTCCGCAATCTCTTGTTCCGGGAGGGAAGCGGCGGAGATGTAGAATTCCACGCCGGGCGCGACCTTGGGAATGGGGCCGCCATTGGCCGCTTCCCGGAAGACGTTGGCGGCCGCAGCAATGTCGGAGGCGCGCGAGTTCGTGCAAGAGACGAGATAGGCCTTGTTGATTTTGATGTTTTGTGCCTCTAGGTCCTTGACTGGCGTGGCCACCTTGACCGAGTTGGGGCCAGCAACAAAAGGTGACAGCGTCGACAAGTTGAGGTATAGAGACTTGGCGTAAGTTGCACCTAGATCCGGCTTCGGGGGGTCCCGGAACAGTTCCTCTATCTTGTCGTGGGTAATTCGAGCCTTGCCGCCAAGATCCGGGTTCAACATGGCCGACACCGTTGCCTTAGCGCGGAGCCAGGATTTCAGTGTAGAGTCGATTGGGAAAATACCAGCCACGGCTCCCCACTCGGTAGTCATGTTGGAAATGGTGAGCCTGTCGTCGATGGGGAGGCTGCTGAGCGTGAGGTCTGAGCCTGTGAATTCGATGGCATGGTTCAACACCTCATCCTGGTTAAATAACGCGCATAGCGCAATAATAACATCCTTCCCTGTGACGCCCCGCGGCAGCACGCCAGTGAATGTGACTTTGGCGATAGGGGGAATCTGCCACCACGTTTGTCCCGTTGCCCAGATACTCGCAGCATCCGTCCGCACGACGGGTGTTCCCAGGGCAGCAACACCTCCATACATGTTGGAGTGTGAGTCAGAGGCCACCGTGAGCGTCCCTGGCCACGCGTAACCCTCCTCGATCATGATCTGGTGGCCGATTCCTCGACCAGCCGGATAAAAATCAACTCCATGTTGCCGAGCGAAGTTTTCGATATTTTTGTACTTTTTAAGATTGCTCTCGCTCGTATTTTGAACATCGTGATCCAAGGTCACGACTACCTGCCGGTTGTTGTGAATCTTCGTAGCGCCGATAGATGTGAACTTGGTTACTACGGGCCAAGAATTGTCGTGAGTCATGCATTGTGCCGGCGAGATGGTAACATAGTCGCCGGCCTTGACCTTCTTGCCCGGCGGAAGTCCAATCGCATACCTCTGCACGATTTTCTCGGTCAAAGTCTGCGGATTCTGGACTCGGGTACCTGGCGCAGCGAATGGTGAGGCTGCTTGAGCCTCTATCTCAGAGTGCAACGCATTCTGTCGCACCGGCGTTGTGGAATACGCCTGACGCCATTGTCGACCTGCGGCAGGCTTCAAGTTCACTGCGAGTCCTCGCCAGCCACGCCTTGTGCTAGCCATTGCTAGGCCTCTACGGGCCTACACCGAGGTCAGCTGAGATGGTCTACAACCGAGAACAGAACCGGTCTATGCCATGCCGACTTCGGACTTACCACGAGGACAGTCATCGCCGATGGAACAAAACGGGCAACCATGGCGAATTGACTATGCCGTATTGGCATAAACAAGACCAGTTGATCGCCGGACTATCCCGAATAACTCGTCTCACGAACTTCGTGAAGACCTGTGATACCGTGTGTAAATTGTCGGGAGTATCTCGGGCGAAAATTCCATGCGTTGAGATGCCGATTTTCGGGCTCGGATGAAAGCGGTCAAAGTTGGCAGAAAGCCCTGGCACTGGAAACGTCATAACCAGAATCCCCACTGTTGCAACACTCCAAGCCCTGTGGTCCCGAATTCTCACGGCAGACAGGTGCGGTCGCTCATCTTACCCCCAAAGGGCTAAAATTTGAGATTTCATTAATAGGTACCCGAGGAAGGCGCAGACTCATCCCTCTTGAATCGCCGCGAATTTGTGAGACTGCCCTCGTTGCTGAGTTCTTGCCTTTTGGCATTTCACTGGATTCTTGCCGAGTTCCTTCTCGCGTTTCGCCCCTTCAACTTAAGTACCCATTTCTCAACAAACCCGGCTGATAATCTGATTGCCGGCATTGGATTTGAAATTCTACCTATCGCAACGCGGTGGAGATGGATGTGCGTGAAGCGTGAATGAACCGGCGTTGACAAAAGGCCAGCCACCGACAAACTCGTTGTCAATGTGTCAATGCATTTTGCCCACGAGCACTTTTTCCTAAAGATGGCTTGATCAGCGGATTTCCAATTGTCCGAGCCAAATCCTCTCGTGCCAGCCGAGCCCGACAAAGTGGAATTTCGGCCTGAATGGCGTCGTTGCCGCGTCGTCATTGGCAAACCGCCATCACACGAGAGCAAAGCCTTGCCAGCGCTTGCGGAATGCCACTTGATCCGCCTGAAGGGTGGGACTCGGGTCACGCTTGTGGTCTTTCCGGGGCCAATGAGCGATTTCATGGCCGCGCTTCACGAGCGAGCCTGATGGATTGGCCCTGGCACCCTGATCGCCCTCTGGAACCGTTACGGCCACACCCGTCCCCCGCTGTCCGTCCTGCGTGGCAGCATGTGAGCGTTGGCCGTGCATCCCTCCATCCTTTTTGCGCCGCTATCCCGAACCGGGCTGCCGACTTCATCCGTCAACAGACAGAAAACATCGACGGTTTCCTCGCCCTTTTTGCTTCAGACACGCCGGGCAGACACAAGCGGCAAGCTTTGGAGGGGCATTCATGGCATCGCTGAGGGGCGTTGTAACCCTCTCGCAGCCCAGACCCGCCCCCGCACTTGTACCTCCCGGATGCTTCCCTCACCCCTCGGCCAACCACCCAACTGCCAACCATGGACGACGGCTACCATGACGACACGGCGGACGCGTATATTACCGCGCCCTCAAAACCCGCCTTCATTATCGTCCCCTTGAACCCTGCCGCCCGCAAGGTCCTCCACCACCCAGAGGAACAGCCACCTCCGCTACCCGCTCGACGACCCCGACGGCCTGTGGCTCAGCTTCTCCGACCCTCAAAAGCAAGAATGCACGCTGGGCAAGGGAGACGCCGACATTCACCTTCCCGACCCGAAGTCTAGCAGCAAGGGCTCGCCGCATATCCAGCCCATCCATGCCTCGTTCCAGGTCGTCGAGGATACCGGCGCCGTCCTGCTCTGGGACCACTCTGACAATGGCACCGTCGAGCCGCTCCCGCACAGCAATTCCTACACCGTCAAGTTCCGCTCCAACGCCAAGTCGGTCCTCGTCGCCCAGGGCATCAACTCGAAGATAGCCTTTGGCAAAGACCAATGGTACCAGTTCGAGATACAATGGCAGTCGGATGGGCTGTATGGGTTTCCCAAGGATGAGCCCTATAGGATGGGGCCGAGTAACGCGCGGGTGAAGAAATACGTCATGGGGCGTGAAGTCGGCGCCGGCTCATACGGCTCCGTGTCGTGGGTGCTGGATGCAACCAGCGGCAAGATCATCGCCGTCAAGAAATTTCACAAGCTCTCGGGGAAGAACCTTGAGTTTGCGACAAGGGAGATGACCAACCTCTTCAAGATCAACAGGGACGACTCGATAAAGCATGTAAGTTCATCTTGGATACTTATTGGACGCTTGTTATTTCTTGACCGTCATCGCCGCTAACTCGCAGCCCCCTGTAGGAACACATCCTCCAAATCCTCGACTGCGCCGGCGGCGGGAAGACCGACGACTGGGGTGAGATCTTCATGCCCCTCATGCAAGGAAACCTCAAAACCTTGGTCGAAAGGTACACCCCCCCGGGCGAACACGCCGCCTTGTCCGACATCGTTCTACGCCAGATGCTCCTCGCGCTACAGTGCATCGCCTCCCACAAGCTCATCCATCGCGACGTAAAACCCGAAAACATCCTGTACGACTATGACGCCACCGGAAACTACCGCTTCTGTCTCGGCGACTTCGGCTTATCCAATGACCCGGAGTTGGCGCGCACCGCCGCTGGTACCGAACCGTTCATGGCCCCTGAGGTGTTTGGCCGGAAGCGCCAGACCACCAAGGTTGACATCTGGTCCCTGTTTGCTACCGTCGTCTGGACCCGCACCCCCCAGTTCCGGCGGGATTGCTCGCAAATGCACGCCCAAGACCTACATGGTTGGTTAGTGGCCATATCTAGGGCAGACGAGTACGCGACCATGCAACGGATGGCAAGCATTGACCCCAAAAGGAGACCATCGGCGACGGAACAGCTGGCCATTCTGGACGGCCAGTTGGACGATCACGCCAGTGTGCGGAGTTTTGGGAGCACGAGTGGGGACGAGATGGGCGCCGACCTGAGTGCCCGGTTTTCCAACGTTTTGAACCTGCGGGACAATGCGCCCGGTCTCACCTATGGCTCCGGCAGTTCGGAGCCCGTCACGTCACCCGAGGTGCCATACTACGAACCCTATGTCAGCGGGCTCTTCGAGGCCCATTTCCCCGGCCAAGCAGGACCGAGCAAGGGTTATATGCCACCGTCGCCGGGTCCGGAGGAGGCCCCGAGGGATTATGGGGTGAGTCCCGTGCCCGTTCCACTTCTCATCCGCGACCCGGCTGCTGACTCGTACTAGGCATGGGTTCGACCTTACGAGAACGCATACGGACCACCCGTCAGCCACAACAGCGGGAGCGGCACGGCTGTTCCAGATACCTGGACAGCGGTCGCCCCGACGACGATTGAAACTGAAGAGGAGCCACCGAGGAGGAAGTCTAAGGGGAAGCACAGGTCTTAGATACCCTCACCCTTGGTTATTATCACGTTTTTGCTTTTGTTGTGCATTGCATCTAGGTATTTGGGAGATCATGACGGAGGTCGGGTCGGGTGCATATTTCACGTTTTACGCTTTCATGAGGGTCCGGCTCACTGGTCACTGTGCTGGCTAGACGGGAGACGGGGGGCGGAGGGAATAGGGGCTATCTGTAGAGGTAATTATTTACGTTTATGCCCGCCAAGATGGCCGGGTAGAGTGTTCAGTCTTTCTCGTCAAAAGGTTTCTTTGTTGCATCGAGCCTCGGACATATGAATTAGATCGTAGCTTGAACCCCCCATCTCCCTGCTGGTGTTGACCCATCCTGAGCAGCTCATCTTATCACAGAACCATTAACAGGTTTCATGGGTGGTAACACAAACAAACGGGAAACTACGAGAGTGTAAAATAGCGGAGTGGCGTCAGAGCCTAGCCCAAAGGCCAAGGCAAACATCATTGATTTCTTTGTTGTATCCTCGTATCAAAGAGTGACTGGTAGGTAGCAAGAATGAAAGGTTCCAGGGTCCATTCAACTGCAACGCACACTTAGAGAGAGCGACATGCCCAAAGTTCCGTCCACCCCCCAGAACCCGCGGCAAGAATTCCACGGAGCCCTTGCAGGCACCATAGCAAGCAAGGTACGCCAGTACCCATCCACTCAACAGCAGCACCTGCTAGCTAGCTAGGTAGATGGCCTAGTACGGCCCACACCGGCCACTGCCCGTGTTACAGTCACTGCCCGTGCCATAATCGCAGCACGCGCCGTTGCTCGAGCACTCGTACACGTGCTTGAGGTTGCGCTTGGCCGTGATCACGTAGCTGCCCTTCCACTTGCACGCCCCGCAGTACTGGCCCTGTCGCAGGCCCTTGACGCACTTGCAGCCCGTCTTTCGGCAGGCCCGCTTCTCGAGGTGGAGGGGCGCGTCGGCGTTGGGGGTGAGGACGTCGCGCACCTCCATGGGGATGGACACTTCGTGGGGGGAGGTGGTCGCGTCCGTGTCGGGGGTGGGGTTGGCGACGCCGAGGGTGGCGGTCAGGAGCGTGAGGGCGAGGGTGAGACGCATTTTGAGGAGGTGTTGTTGTTTTGAGGGTTTGGGTTGGTGTTTTGTGTGTGTTGTGGGTTGGTTTGCCTGATCGTGTGGATGAAGGGGCTGGAGATCAGAACAGATCCCTCGAGATGAGGTCGAGTTGACCCCTTTATATACACTTCACGAAGGCACTTGGTACCGTTTTCCCTTACCCGTCCCCCTCTCCCCGTTGCCTGACTGTTTAGTCTTCTCCGTCACTTTTCGGGTTCCCCCCCGGAATATGTTGTCATCTCTCCAGGCCATGTTGCAATCTCTAACCTCCCCTCTTCGATGCAGCCAGTAACTCATCGGCTTTCAGCTCTCGAGGAAGGCCGCGGTCTCGGCAGTTTGGCCAAGTGCGTGCCAATGCTGCGCGGGATCCATCGCGCCCTTCCAAGAAGCTCTTGGAGTGGTTCGCAGGCGAGACCGCTTTCAGCAGACTCGCTGAGCCGGGTAAAGATCGTAGTATCGAATGACTAACAATACAGCTGGGTTCTCTTGCATGGTGACTGTGGTTGACAAGAGGAGGGGCTCCAAACAAAGCGTCCCAATCACCCGGCCCAAGGCACCGGGTTCTCTAACCCATTGGCCGAAATTGCCCGGTACCCAGAGTAATATTGATTGCTATATGATTGTTATGCAGCTATGTTCCCACTCCATCTAAGACACCCAAGTACTCGGGTGCGAGAGTCTGGGGCAACACGTGTGATTGCTGACCCGCCATCGGTCTAAATGTCTGTCCGTCGACCGCTCGATCATCACATGTTGATATGATGCTTGATTACACGGCTGACGGTGGCGGCATGCTTTGCTTTCTGCTCGAGTGTCTCGGCGCTATACTCGGCGACCCCTGCCCCTCTCCGTCACCACACTGTTACATTGATCTCAACCTCGGGTACAACCAACGTAGCGGGGAAACGACCTATTCAGATCTCGACTGCATAAAAGGCAAGGAAACATGTGATGTTGATGGCAAGGAACCGAAATTCGACCACAGTCCGGTGAGGGACACCACGACGATGCCGTCTTGCCGCACCATCTACTCGTTGGCGAGCTGCTGGTGGCGTAGAGTTTTGCTTCCCCTCACTAAAATGTGCTCGAATAAGCAATCTCATGCCGAACCCAAAACAAATTAATTAGGTTGCCAGCCTTACGAACCGGTGGCCCGGAACTGTTGATGGATGAACGAGAGCCTCATGTTATTAGCCGGGACGAACCAAGAGCACAGCTAGACCGGCGTACATGGACTAGCTCTATCAACGACAATGAGGGGGCGGCGTTGAGATGCGTTTGGTACATTGGAAAGCAACTTGCTCATGGTTCGGGACCGAGGCGGAAAGCCTGCTGAGGTCGGATGCCCAGATGTCCTTACCCCTGAGCTTTCCTCCAACAAACTCTCCTAGCTTGACCTGTCTTCCGTGCGCCTCCTTATCTCCCTGCAAAGTTAGAACTTCTAACTATACCAAATCGCATTCGCACAGCACCCTCCATCCTTGACATCCACCTTTGCCACCGCTCTCGCAGTGCTATACTCAACCAACCCATCCGCCCTCTCCCTCCTCCCCTCCATCCTCCACATCAGCACATACCCCTCCCCATAATCCGTCATCGCCGCATACTCATCGTCCCAAAACGCCGGACTCACCGCATTCGCCTTCCCCCCCCTCGTCGTCGTCGGCACCCTAAACATCTTCTTCACAATCCCCCCATCCGCCCCCACCAAAAACACCGCCACAAACCCCGTATCCACCTCCTCCTTCGCCCTCGCCGACGCCCACAAATACCGCCCACTCGCGGACAGCATCACCTCCGCCGACCAGTACCGCTCCGTATCGGCCTCGATCGGCAGCAGGCTATGGCGGACGACCTCCTTCGTGACGGCGCCCGTGGCCGCGTCCAGCACGTACTCGGCCACGGTGTTGTCGGCCTCCATGACGGCGTACAGGCGCAAGCCGTTGGGGTGCGCGGCGAGATGCCGCGGGTGGGCGCCCGCGGCCCCGGGCATGCGGAAGCGTGCCACTTCGGTGGCCGCGCCGGTGGTGAGGTTGATGGTGTGGGTCCAGAGGAGGTCGCCGTTGAGGTCGGCTGAGTAGAGGAGTTGCGGTTGGGGTTGGGGGGTGGTGGTGGTGGCGTTGGTGTTGGAAGGGGCGGTGCGGGGGGAGAGGGCGAGGCCGTGGATGCCGGATTCGTTGGTGTAGGTCCAGGTGGAGAGGATTTTGGTGAGGGCGCCTGTGTCGGAGGTGGAGAGGGACATGCCGCAGGCGCTGGGGGAGGGCCAGGAGCCGGTGAAGACGTGGTAGGGCGGGTTTGGCATGGCGGTCACGAAGCCGCTGGTGGTGTTGAAGCAGGCATCGGGGGCCCGAGCAGTTTCTTGGTAAGTTTAACGTTTGTAACCATTGATCACGCTGTAGCTGGCGATTCGTGTCTCGTGAGGGGAACTGGCGTAGATATTCTTTTTTGCGTGCTATTCACAATAAGTGAGTATCATGGGAGTTGTGAATCGTGGAGTATAGAGGGGCTCACGTCAAAGGTAATCCAGGCGTGGGAGGCGTCAGCGGTATTGTTTTTTTAGGAGCTTGAAATCATTGGTCTCGTCGTTGAATTCGAGGGCGTAGATGGATGCTGGTGGTAGTAGATTTCCCACAAACAAGTTGTGGACGGCCCCATGGGCCATGGGGGCCAACACCAAGAGGTGCGGCAAGAGTGTTGTCGACAGCTTCATGTTAGCTGCGTGACCCCCGAGAGTAAATTAGCCCAACATAACTGCCAAGCAAACAACGGAAGCCATGTCTTGGCCAGCAATGGGCTAGTTATAGGCAAGCAACCCCCTTTTCCCCGGTCATGATTTGCGCGCATCGTGCTCACGCACCCTGGTTTCCACTAGAAATTGTTGAAGAGACGTAGTACCTGTGTAACATGACAATCAGGCTCAAGTGCCGAACATGCACGGCAGCGGTGTTTTACTCATTATCTCGGATTTGCTCGTGGTTATACTTAGCCTAAACGATATGCCTGGAGGAACTCCAGGTTCCTTAGGTCGAAAATGCCATGGCCTGCTCCAAGCACGAACCAGTTTCTTTCCTTTTTCGGACATGTCCCCACTAGTAAACGGTGTCATTTTGAACCTGTACTATCGACTTCTCACTATAGAGTTTTGGCTTTTTCTCCTTTCGATTTCTCTCGATGGCATCTCGATGTCTGGCGTCATCTGCATTCTGCTTCCTCTCATCAGCATCTCGCAGTCGGTCTTGGCGGTGGTGGTGCACGGACTATTTGATGCTTGACACCTGGCCAATCGGATCGCCGGAGAAAAGCCGCTAACCCGCACTTGGCATCAGGACCCCTGTGACTCGCTGCTTCGCTCCTGCTTTTGCATGCCTCCGTCGCGCATTCCTTGACAATCACGAACACGAACAAAAAAATCGGATTTCTGTCAAAAAGTGGCGAAAGATGAGGTTTACTACTACTAGAGCGACGCACCCGCTTCTTCGTCAGCAGCTTTAGTCTGCGCTGATTCGGCCATGATGTCCCATTCCTGGAACCACGACGACAGAGAACAACGTCAACATTGCCAAGATTGCCTGGCTCAACAGGAAGGATACAAGCATGGCCTACGGCTCGATGGTCGTCTACGTGACGAAGGGTAGCGAAGCAAATTGCTTCTTTGACGCACAAAATACACGGAACCTATCAGCTCTGTGAGATTACGCCAGAGGTTGATCTTTACGGGATCTGATTACTGAAGCCCCTAGATGACGATATAGCTTACTGGAGACTCAAGAATGCGGCGTCATACATCGGCGATGAGGTCAAGCCGGTGCTAGAGGCCACCTTTTTTACACCGCGGTGCTCCATTTTCCCAATCCAAGGAACTCGATACGTTCTTTCCATCCCGATTTTCTGACCTAAACTACAATCATCTCCTGATACTGTTTATAATTCCATAGCAGTCAAGATGGCTTCTTCTTCCGCCTTTAACAATTACAACGTTGACTCCGCTATGGGGCCTACCTGCAGCCGGCAAGTTCCTCCAGGCCTCCTTTGGCGTGCCCGCGCGCAGCGGGCACGGTCACTCCTGTCAGGCGGTACGCCGGTCGGTCGACATAACCCCATTACCTCAGCTATCTTATCAATAATATCCCAGGACGAATAGCTCAGGGGTAGAGCAACCGGCTGCAGTCCGGTAGGTCACGCGTTCAAATCGCGTTTCGTCCTCTTCTTTTTCCCGGCGTTGTTCGATGAGCTTTACCACAAGTTTTTGTTCCGGTAACTTATGAATTGTGTGTTGTGTTGTCTAAGACTCTGGCTTCCGTCAGCACGCTCGTCATTGGAGTGGGTTGTTTCTGTGAGGAACGAAAGAACTCTGTCGAGCCGCAACGTGTGTCAATCTGTATCCAATTTGATCACCAACCCCCCCCTTCTTTTTTTCTCATGTCCCTGGTTCCTCGTCGGACTCCTTAAGGTTGCTCCGTTTGCCCTGTCGGCGAAGATACCGGGCTTCCTTCCGCCACCTCCTCAGGTTGATCCTCCGTTGCCTCGTGTTTGTACAGCTTGATGTTGATAAACAGCGCAAAGAGGCCAACATCATACGCCAACCTCAGGGCACCGGCAACCACAAAAGCCACCCAAAATTTACCACCTCCCGCCAGCAAACCTGTGATGCTGGGCCCGGTCATGGACGCCAGCGTCCGCAACATGCCCGTAATGCCCATGACGGCTGTCCGCTCCTCGGGACGTACCACGGCCGCGATGAGTGCAGCCCGAGGCGCCTGGTCCATGTTGTTGAGCCCAACCCGTAGAAGCAGCAACGCAAAGGTGAGAGGCACGGTCTGGGCTAGGGGAAACACCAAAACCGCTGCTGATGACGGAATGTGGGTGAAGACCATGGTGTTGACCAACCCGATATAGCGTGCCAGCGGCCCAGAGAAGACGTTTGACAGCGCCGCGAGGAGGTGGCTGATCGAGACGATGTCGCCGAGCGCCGACTTGGGGAGGTGGAACTTCTGGTCGATGTAGTAAGTCGTCAGCGACATGTTGGCCATGCCGTCGGCGAGGGAGTCGACCATGAGGAGGAACCACATCACCACCATGATGGCGAGCGTCTCGCGCGAGATCTGGGAAACCCAGCTTGACTTCGCCTTGGGCACCTTCCCACCATCCGTTACTGGTTCCGTCACCTGCGACCCGCTGAGGAGCGGTTCAGTCTCACCCTCCACCGGCTCAACCCTTTTCAGCTCGCACCGCTTCGACAACATGAGAGCACACCCCATATTAACCAATCCCATACCAGTGTACACCCAAAAACACGCATGATACGCATCCACCAGCGCCCACCCCTCGCGCCCCCTCAACCCTTCAACCATCCTCCCGGACAACTCCGTCCCCAACGCACTCCCCAAACTCGCCAACGTAACATACCACACCAACACATCGGCCCGCGTCCTCGGCGTCGTCAGCTCCGAAACAATGGACTCCTCTACGGCCCTAAACGGCCCAAAGTCCCCTCCCGTCGCACTAATGACCCCCACGACCGCCGCCCCCAACAACGCCCAAAACTCCTCACACAGCGCAAACACCACCCCGGACAAAACCATCAGCCCCGACCCAAACAGCAGCGTCCTCCTTCTCCCCACCCGATCCGCCACCAGCGTCAGCAACAACGTCAACACGACATCCCCAAACAGCGTCAGGGTCATGAACAGGCCGATGCGCGAGTCGGAAAAGCCCAGCTCGGCGAAGAAGAGGGCTAGCACGAGCGAGCCGCCGCCGTAGGCAAACATGCGGCAGGAGCGTGACAGGATGACCAGCCAGGCGTCGCGGCCGGTGGCGGCAACGGAGGAGAGGCCGGATTCGCGGAGCGTGGCGTGTAGAAGGCGGTGGGCCATGGTTGGTTGGTTGGTTGGTTTCTTTCTTTTTGACTTTTTGGGTTGGTCGAGGGGATGGGAGGGGATTGGGGCGGTGTTGAGGGAAAGGCGTTGTTTAACTTATTAGTTGGTATTATTTCATGCTAGTTATTTATTCGTATTTTTTCTTGTTTGGTTCTTGGATGCATGGACATGCTTACACCGCCGCTGCCCGTGCTATGTCCGTGAGCCCGTGACATGCAGATAAAAAAAAAAAAAAACACATGTTGCGGAGTCACCAGTGTCACCAGTCACCACCGAAGGCAGCAGCGAGAAAACTCGAATCCCCGGAGCTATCGGAGCCGGTGTCGGAGACCGGAAGACCCACTTCCGCATGAGGCAAGAGGTGACGCATCCGACGCAATTTGGGAGACTTCGGCTTTGGTATTGCTTGCTCGCCTCGGTGCTCGGTGCTCGGTGCTAAACGTGTAAGTGGGCATTTACTGGGCATATACTAAATAAAGGTTTGGTTTGGTTCCAAAATTGGTGAATATTTGAAGGAGGATTCACCTCCTTGATATAACACTGACAGCACATCAACACATGAATCGAACGGCTTCTGTCTTGGTGATATACACATTAATACTATGTACTGTCTGGCCCCGCCAGCATGGATGCAGCCGTGAACCCGTTCCCGGTTCCCTTGTTCCCATCCCTTCCTTGTAAGCCAGTATGCAAAATCCCAAACGCCTCGTAACGTCATCAAGCCCGATCACTACCCCCCAGGCCGAACCTCTTCCAAAACACCTTTGATGCCAAACCCCAGTTTTACCCAACCCCAACGAGTCCTCTTTCGGAACCTGTTCCAAAGCTTTCTTGGTATGTACACACACCTGACTGCGCCGGCATCTACCGTGTATGTGCGTTAATGTTGTGTTTTGAACAACTAGCAACTCGCCGCGAAAAACGTATCCCCATCGACTGCTTTGTGCAGCGCCAAGTAAAAGGCAACAGCGATTGGGTGTGGACGGTGTCGATGTACCGTCGGAGTAGATTGAAATATAACAAAAAACGACAAAGGCCTGCCAAGATACGTCCATTCGAGGAAAGGAGACCTAGCAGTGAGAGAATAGCCCGAGATTGGTGCCTCGAGCGACCCACACACCATGCTAGGAGACAAGGAAACGTGAACCCGAAGCCAAATGTGTAATTGCCAGAAAGAAATGGGAAAATATATCTTGTCAAGTCATGCCTTGTTGGGTGAAATGAACAATAAGAAAGACCACGGCATTGAGAGGTGATTCCGATGGCAATCGAATCGAAGAGAGATGGTTACCGGAACGGCTACTGCTCCATCGTCGCGAATGTGAGGTCAAACGGCAAGTCGGCCAGATCATCACGAGACCCCTGCACCGTAGTCGATGGGAGGAGTTGGTCCATGTATGCGCCGGCTTGCGTGATGGTCGCGGTGGATGAGACGGGCGAAGTGTAGCCATGGCTGTTAAGGCTCATCATAGACGCCGCCATGCTCTGTTGCGTGTTTGGCTCTGCGTTCCTGTAGTCGAACCCGGCGGACGAGATGGGGAGCCCGTCAATTGATGGCGCGGGGAAGACGGGGTGGTTGAGACGGTACATATCGGACAGCTGCGAGTCTAGGTCGCCTTGGAACGAGGCGCCGGTCAGGTCGATGGACTGGCCGAAACCTCCTCCGACGCCGGCAAATGTGGGCATGCCGTATTCATCGGCGGACATCCGCATGGGATGCCCGCCTTGCGAGTTGTACTGGGAGCCGGCAAACTCGTTCTCGTAGTCTTCGGGCTCTACAGCGCCCACCGATTCAGTTCCATCGGGCATCAGAGCACCGGCTTGGTCCATGGGGACAGTGACCTCCACCATCCACTGCTTCAACTCGCTCATGGACGGCCAGTCGCCGCCACCTTTCCCCCCTCGCTTCTCCTTCTCTTCCTCGACCTTGATATTCCCATTCTTGCCGGCCGCCCCCTTCCGGGCCTTCACCTTGAAGTGCGTGCGGCGGAGGTGCGCAGCGGCGTTGTAATAGGCGCCGTAGTGCTTGTTTTGCGAGCACTGTTTGCAATCCTTGAGCGGCTTGACGGCTGTCTCGGAGTGTGGAATGCCGTAGAGGCTGGGGTCGCGGCAGACCCACTTCTTGACCATGCTCTTGTGTTTAGCCTCGGTATGTCGCCGGAGCTCATGCTCGCCTCTGAAACCCTCGGGATGGTCGTTACACTGGTTGCACAGCACCTTGGGATGCTTGGGGCGTTCGTATTTAGTCTTGGTGATGGCGGCTTTGCCGTCCTTGGCATGGTTGGTCTGGTCGGCTGCCTCCTGCTTGACAACACCCGCGGCCGGTTTGGGCTGAAGGTGCCGGGACTTGGCCGCGTAGTTTTGTCGGGCAAGCGCTTCCTTGGCCCGAAACTTTAAGGACGAGTTCGACTTGATACTGTCCCTGGACACCGAGCGTTCCATCGACAAGTGTTGGGCGAGGCAAGGGCCATTGTCGTGCGTCGAGGCGTCATCTGACGAGTTAGATGGGGCACTGGATTGCGATAACGACGGTTTCATGGCGTGCTGGTGTTGGGTAAGGGGGGATTGTAGAGGGGCGGAAGACGGGTAGGCGTATGAGAACGAGCCCCCTTGCATGACGATAATGCCCGAGTCCTCTGAGGCACGCTTTCCTAGCAACGGCGGGGGAACGGCGGCCGGGCTGGGGCGATAGCTCCCCGCCGACTGTTGCGACCGGATTCGCACCATCTCGCTAAACTGGCCAGAGACGTCGTTCATCGAGCTGTTCCGCCGCGACATGGGGGCCGTCTCTATCGTCGGGCCCGAGGTTAGAGATCCGTAGGCGGAGGGGAAACTCGAGCTCGCGTAATGATCGGGCTCTTGGGGAGACAGGAGAGCGGACTGAGGGATGTTGATAGGGGATATGGTCGAAAGCACAGAGTCATCGTGCATAGACAGGAACTCGTCCACGCCCATCTCTCGTCCAAGCTCGCCGGGTTGCGAGCCGCCAGTCATGAGGTTTGGGCCCGGTGCAAAGGTGTTTGCGAGATACTGGAGCTGGCTTTGGTGGAGGTAGTCACCTAGGGTACCGGGAAGTGTGGTCGGGAGGTTATTTTGCATGGCTGGAGGAGCAGCGGGGGCTCCACTACGGGCAAATGCATTTGGGTTGGGGCCCGGGCCCGGGCGCGCGACGCTCGACCTTGACCGCATCATGGGGGCTATTGAAGAGGACCCCGCGGCATGCGTGGTCTTTGAGCGCTTCATCGGGCGGCTTTGATCCTGGGGATGGGTGAGCATGAGCAAGAGTGGGGCCGCCTCTCGGATCCCGCTGGACGTCGGGGGGATCTTACCTGAGCGGGTGCGGGATAAGGCTGCGCCCGGCTGAGTTTCTCCATCAAGGCGCGTTTTTCCCGTTCATTCTGCTCAAGCGCAGCCCTAAGCTGTTGGACCTCGTCGACTTGACCCATCCTGCGTGGATGAAGCTATGAGGAAAGAAATGTTGGTGGAAGTAGATGGTTGGGACAAGAGAGACCCAGCCTCGTGGGCTGAAGTGGGACGGATAAGCGGACAAGAGGCAGGCTGTCTGCAGGGTGCGACGGAACCCGGCGGGCGGGCAGTGTCTTGAATGGATGGGACTCAAGATTGCTTGCTGCAGACAAGCAAACGAAGCAGGATGGAGGATGGAACAAGAGCAGAAAGAAGATTGGCAGGCCGCTGGAGAACAAATGATATTTATCCAGTCGGGACCGCGAGGCTTTGGCATGCAGTAGGACTCGGCACACCGAGTTGTCGAATGGACACGGGTGTGCTGGATGGGGGATGGACGGCAGACGATTTCAGGTCGAGATGCAAGCTGCACACCCAGTCAAGTGGGTGGGTGGGAATCTTGGGCAAGCACGGCTCTGGAGGCTCTGATGTGGTGCCAGGCACACAGCCAACCCACTCACACCCGGGCGGGCCAGAGGTGACGACTGTGCTTGGATCAACGGTGTAACGGACCAGGGGGCTTCTGGGGGGGCAAGCTTTGATTGAGTGCCCATGTTCGCCATGGCACTGCCCACCGACCCCGGATTGGCGTCGGCGAGCCAGTCTCGGCGCCTCAGTGGGTCGCCCATGCTTCGTGACGAATCCGGAGTCCTGGAGATATGCCAAGGATGTACCCTGGCTTGCCTGGGTTAGAGATCAGCTCCCCTTCGGACAGACCATGGTGAAGGGGCTTTGCCTTTTCCAGCAGGACAATTCCATGTCCATGGACATCTGCTTGACACGATGAAATGCCACGCCTCTGTGGCCCTTTTTTCTCGGACCAGGGTGTCGTCGAGACATTTGCCATCGAATCCATGCTTGGCATCGATCGCGAATGGAGTGTTTCCATTTCAATTTCGACAGAGGGATTGACTGCATGCAGAACGGTTGAGCACAGCAGAGCCACTAACCAGTGTCTGAGCTGTGCCCGGCTGCAGAAGGGATCCAGTGATGCCGTTACACTAGACGGACGATTGGCCGATGGTTTCTCGGCAAGTTTCGCTGGGGAAACAATCCACTCATCGGTTTCCATCCAAGGGCTAAAAGTCGAAGAGTGGAAAAGGCTCTTCTGGGTCTTCACTTTGTTGGTGTCCCACGACGTCGCTCTCTGGGGATTGGGGGGCCTCAGAGAGCGGGCAGTGAGCCGAATCGCACAAACTGTGGTTGGGTGGAACTGCCCGGGTGATGCGCAACTGCATCCAGTCAGCTCCAAAGGAGGACAGCACAGCGCTTCTGGCAGGCAATCAGGCCCCGCTGCTCACGCGGGCACTTTGCGCGGGATGGAGGTGACACTTTCTTCTGGAATTCTTCGTCCGCTATATCCGGAAGTTGAAGGGGGTCGAAACGCCAGCTGGCAAGCGCAGTCTCAGTCCCTAGTTGGCATAATATCGGGCATTCAGAGGGTTCGGGAGTTGCGAGAAGTGACAACAGGGAGGTGGGATGGATGGTTGCAGATGCTGCTGAGTCACATTCTAAAACCCGGAGTTGAAACGGAAAAAAAGCGATTGAGAGACGGGATCCATGTCTTGGTCGAGGGGCCGGCATCCAGAACGGGGAGTCATTTCAATTCAGTGCTGTGACGTGACTTCCTGTTTTTCTCATCGGTTTCCTGAGGAAGCCACGGTCGACAGTTCAGCAGGCAGCTAGGTATTAAACAAGAGGCAGTCGCGATACACGTTCAGAGAACTTGATCGGACGCTCCCAATTGCCCCCAAGTTATGGTGCTAAGCAGAAGTTTCGTCTTTACCGAAATCTTCATCTTTGACCTTTTGACGACGTTTCGGCCAATCTTGAGCCAATCTCTGCAATAATGGAAGCGATGCATGCCCGTGGTGTGTGTCTGGCTTGACAACTCAAGCCGGCCTCGATTTCCGGGTTGGCACGAACCCCACTAACTAGGCTATTTCCAGTTGTAGCTGCCCCCCGATCTGTGCCGCGACACTGGTCAACAGTCGTCGAATCATCTGCTCAGGGCTTCGAACTCACGACCGGAACAGCTTCCATACAGCCCGGGTGGAGGGTGGTCGAACACGCTGTTGGCCATGCGTCGCCGCCTCGTTGTCAACAGGGGACCCCGCCCATCCCTTCTTGCTGCAGGACCATCACAGGCGCCGTTATTGGCGGGCCAGGCTCTGGAGAGTGAGGCGAAGGCTTTTGACTGGACACAAATCGCCGGTTGAGTGGATCCATTTCGGGCGCTGCAAATCGCCAATCTGTGTTCAGCGTCCCGACCTGATGGATCCCCCACTATCGCAGCCACGTCCACCACACTGGCCGGGCGCGGCACTCTCGGCTTTTCGCAGTTCCAGGCCACCAGGCTCACTACGTTGGGCTCCAATTCCCGTCCTTGATTGACCCCTTTGAGATCTCACAGGTGGTCTGTGCGTTCGGCTGCCCTGCCTTGCCTGCATGGTGGGAGGGCAGCAGCCAGCATGGCCACCACCAATTGATGAGTTGTCCGTTGGCTGCAGATGTGACACGTTTCTGGTCACCGGGACTCACCTTTGGGCTCTTGTGCCTTCCCTCCCACAGTCTCGGTGACTGTCGAATGGTTCGGGTGCACATGCTGAGAAATGACTTGCAGTCGGTACCGGTTGCTCGAACCGAGACATTCAAGCGAGCCGATGAACCGAAGGGCTTCTTTTGCCGAAGTTGGGTTCGTCGCCATTTCTCGAAAAGACGATCGCACTCTCCTCCTCTCGCACACCGCCGGGCCTGGCAGTCGGAGACAGGGGACGGATCGGCTCCGAGTAGCCCAGGCTAGACCCACTTGCTTCGCCCCGCCCCGGGGTCCGTACCGGGAAGACACACGGACGCTACCGGGTCCCGGGGAATCGGGTGACGCCATCCGGCCAAACCCCGAAACATTCAGGCAGCGAATTTACGTGAAGAGTTGAAATGAGTTAGTTATGGTAGAGACTGTCTCGGGCGGCAACCTGCCTTCTGGCAAGGTTGGATATCGTGGGCCCCCGCCGACCTCGTGGAGTTCGAGGATGCCGCATCATCCCTACCTTCATAACGGTCTCATAACGGTTTTCAACTGGCGCTAAATTATAATGCATGCCGCCGGGACCTCGACATAGTCGTGAGGACAATGTAGCCCGGATCGCGATCTTCCGGCTTCTCAGCGGAGGTGCACAGTCCCTCTCGCCATCCGCCGTCCCATTTACGTCTTTGTCGAGCCTTCATGTGAGCAATTGCCGCCGCGATTTGCAGGCCAGGGAAGCCATGTCGACATTTGGACCACTGTGTGCGTTTTTTTCTGCCGGTGGTGGGCTGAGATTGTGCCAGTCCTCGAGTACACCGAGAACTGGGTATGGGCCACGGGCGGGCATGGAGGGGAGTTGGCCGTCTTGGTCCGGTATCACACAGCGCCGCAAGGTGATGGGCTGGACCGAAGGGAATGTTCGGCAAGTGTCGTCGTCCACCTCACGTGCTGTTGAATGTCCGCTGGAACGCAACCTTCGCTGGAGATTTGAGAATACTTCGCCTCCCACGGTGTCGATGACCAAAGTCGGGCAGCTTTGGCTGCTGTGCTAATATTGCCGTCGGCCAAGCGCACCAACCTGACCCTCTCGGCCAGAGCAGCGAGCGCGTTCGCGGTCCTGGCCTCTAAGAGCCCAGGGGCTGACTTGACTGGCACCATAATGGCTCGACATTTTACAGTTGGTTTCCTTTGGATTGACCGCATACTTTTGAGCATGCATGATTCTGTCCTCTGGGGAATGGGAATGGGAGCCTTGTTCTAACCTTGTCGCCCTGGTTGCTCATGAGGACGTATCTTGTAAGCCTAGTCGTCTCGTCTAGTCGTCGTGATCAAATCTCTGCTAAGGTTCCTGTTTGGCGGGATCGGATGGAAAGACGCTATCGGACGGAACAACGGCAGAACAAGAAAATCGTACTAAATGGACGATAGGAAATTCTCACAGAGCGGTCAATCACAGCGGCGTACCTAGACGGAGGAGGATGAAAGATGGAGGAAGATGAGAGATAAAAAGATGCGAAGATGCGCTGGCTGCGATGACATAATCTCGGGCTGGAGCGATAAGGCCACCTTATCAGTTCGCATGCGACAAGCCAACAGGTGTCCCAATCCCCGAAACAGCACTGGTCGCAACACTTCACTGGGTTGAACCACTGTGACAAACGACAATCACAGGCATCCGGCCATGATAGCGACGGAACCATGCGTCGCCTCGATCTGGTCCTCCTAGCATCGCTGCAGCTCTGTCAAGCTCGGCAGCCCAGCTTCAGCGTCCATGACGACTTGCTCGCATACCCCCAGGTAGGCATTGATCAATAGCTCCCAGAATGCTCTGTACATACCTTACGACGTGCGATCCGAGCTTGCGACAGCGCGCCGCTAACATTACGTTTATCTAGTTCGAGGTCGTCTTTGCCGACGACTACATCTCCGAGGCCGATGCGCTTGCCATTCTCGAGTCTTCGCACGCAGGAGGCGCCACACACACGACCGGCTTCTCAGAATCCGATTTAAGCAAAATTCCTGAATCCGCACCGGCCGAGGTTTCCGGGACAGCGAGCGGGAATGGAAAGGACAACAGTCATGGCGCGCGCGAGAACAACGAAGATATCCCAATCGCCGAGACGTACGAGCTAATCAACAGCAACCCGTGGAAGTACCTCTGCGCCATCCCGGTCATCGCACCCCCACCCGTCTTGAACCGGACCGCAACTGAGCTGGCCAAAGCCGAGGAAGCTCGTGAGCTGAGTAGAGCATCGACTAAGGGCTGGGAACTGATGGGCGGGCTCGAGGGACAGTGCATGTACTTCGTGGCGGGATGGTGGAGCTACAGTTTCTGCTACGGCAAGGCCGTCGTCCAGTACCACGCCCTGCCAGGCACCAAGGCCACCGATCCGCCGCTTAGGGACGAGAAGGATCCAGAGTACGTCCTCGGCAGGGCACAAGAGACGGTGGTCGATACCAAGGCGGTGGCGGATCAATCGCAGCCGGATAGCCCGACCAAAAACGTCCCCCCGCCAAATGCGCAGCTCCAGGTCAAAGGCGACCAACGCTACCTCTCGCAGCGCCTAGAGGATGGCACGATTTGTGACCTCACCGGCCGCCCGCGTACCATCGAAATCCAATATCACTGCAGCCCCGGCACCACGGTAGACCGCATTGGTTGGGTTAAAGAAGTCACTACTTGCACCTACATGATGGTTGTCTACACGCCGCGCCTTTGCAGTGATGTCGCCTTCCTACCGCCTAAACCAACCCGCGCCCATCCGATCCGGTGCCGCCAGATTGTTGGCACGGATGAGGAGGAGCTCGCCTGGCAGTACAGCAAGGTTGCCTCAGCGAGCGAGCTGCTCGGGCAGAAGCCCCCCCAGGCCACCAAGCACACCGGCACCAAGAACTTGCCGCAGAACCACTTTGCTGGGGTTAACATTGGCGGCGTCGTCGTCGGCTCCCGCAAGCACATCGGCGAGGAGCACGTGCACAAGTTGGCTCTCCCCAGGGGCGTCACGCGCGCCACGGCACCCACGATTGAGGTGCTTGCTAAGAGGGAAAAGGCATCGTCAAAAGTGGACGTTATGAGCGACGCCGAACTGGAGGAGCTGAACCTCAGTCCGAGGATGATTAAGCGAGGCGTGGAGGAGATGAAGGCCGAGGCTGGGGACAGGGGGTGGACGCTGCAATATGTTAAGGACGGGGAAACAGTCGACTACTATGGCGTCTTCGACGACGACGACACCGACGGCGCGGGGACCAAAGAGAGCACAGAGAAGCAACAACAAAGTTTGCCTGAGGGTCAGAAGGGGGATCAGAAGGGGGAGGCTCAAAAGGCGGACCAGAAAGAGGCCCAGAAGGGAAAGCAGGATACTCGGGCCGGGGATCAGAAAGAAGAAAGGCGGAAGGGAGACCAAACAGACCAACGCCGCAAGGCGGAGGCGGATGGCAAGAAGTCCGAGGCTACCCAGCCAAAAGCCGAGGAACAAGAGGGGTCGCAGGAAGTGTTTTTCAAGGAGGAGCTGTAGGGGCGGGCTCAAGCGTGCGTGTACACATCCATCTTCGTATCAAATTACTTCAGCATTCTTTTCCAGCTTGTTTCTACCCCTATTGCAACATCTGCTGCGTCTCATTCCCACAATACCCTTCCGGCCTCTCCATCAACTCCCTAACCCCCCTCAATCTACCACCCTTTGAACCTCCATCAACTCCGCATACCCCCCCTCCTCCACCACTCTCACCCCTTCCAACCCCACAATCCCACCCGCTCCCCCCCCCAACCACTGCTAGCCGATACGCAATCCACACGAGCATCCCAGTCCCCCCCATGCGCCACGCCGTCTGCCGCCCGCTGAATGCGCCCCTCGGTCGCCTCGTCCAGCGTCACCCACTGCCGCCGCCCGCCGTTGACCAACAAGCCTTTGGGTCTCGCCGACGTACCGTATCCCTGGGCAAGGGCGCTGGTGAACGTAGGCGTTGGCTTGGTCAAGGTGTGGCGGGTGGGGTTGGAGTTGAGGGGTAAGGGTGGTGTTGGTGGTGTTGGTGGTGTTGGTGGTGTTGGTGGTGTTGGTGGTGTTGGTGAGTGTTTTGAGGGTGGAGGGGAAGGTGCTGGGTATGCAGTGGCCGTTCTGACACTTGAATCTTTGGCCCAATTCCTTGATGGGGCCGTGTGATGATTAGGGGGTTGGATATGTAGGTATAGACGCACACGCCATGGCACTTGGGATTCTATTTTGAGAACAAAAATCTTATTTAGATGCCTAGCATCCATCTAAGCTCCATTGCCCCACTAGTAAAATGGTTCTCATGCTACTTCCATACTTACTCAGGCCATCCGCGGCTCAAGCAACAAGAAAGCAGCAGCCCTGCCTATTCCTCAACAATTAGCGCCTGATAACCCTCCAGCTTTTGAACGAAACCTCGAACGCCCCCACGCCGTTGGCGGGGACGTTGACGGTCGTCATCATGCCCGTCCCTTTCGTCCCGGCGTAGCACTGGACACAGGTGTCGACGGGGCACGGGGCTGAGAACCTGACGCCGGTAGGAGTGCCGCGTACGTCTTCGAGGACGTTGAATCGGGACTGGAAGTCAACAGAACGCGGGCCGTCCATGGCGTTGACCTTCCAGGCGCGGTTGATAGCGGCACTAGGTTTAGAGAGAGTATGTTAGTATGCCATGGTATTGAAACCACTCGAGGTACGGGGGCTATGGGCGGGGACAAGAATGGAGGTTTAATGGTGCCTGACTGACGGGTAGTCGTTGCTAGGCATGATGGAGATGGATAATGATGGGAGCTGGAAAACTCTGGGTACGAGTTGGAAGGTGTTGATAAAATAAGATGTGGAGATAAAGCTGGTGTAATGATCTGATGAAAAGGAGGCTTTCTCAAATCAATGAGGGAGGCCGGTCTTTATAGCAAAGATTTCTCACATAACCTGGCACGACAAGCGGGAGAACATGATACAGTCGCCATGGCAGCACATTCCCCTTGCAATGATAGATTGCGGCCGCCATCAAAGAACATTTTGGTTCAATGTCGCCCTGGCCCATGCTTTGTTGCAGCAGATCGCGAGAAATGAAATCATAGACGGTTCCTCCGGGTCTGGTGGTGAGGCGAACCCCATCGAGGAGATGGCATGGCACAGTGAAGCCATCCCCTTAAGGAACTCCTTAATCCATCGCGTCGATACAAGTGGGACCATACCGGGATATCCATGTGGCAGCTCATAGGGCGGACAAGGACATCCACGGTCAGGGCGGTTCGGCCAGGTAAGCGTCATAGAACCGTGATCAGCGCCTTTCACGTAGCACCGTGATCCACGTTGCCCCGGTAAAAAGAAATAAATAACTACATGAAACCGGATTCATCATGTATAGAAAGGTCGATGCTGACGGCCCCGTAGTTGAGCGGTCCCTCGCCACCGGTATCTTCCGGCAAGGCCGACTATGTCTTATGTTTAGGAAAGCTGTAAACTCACTTGTTGGTCTCAGGTATCCAACCGGCGTGCGGCGTGCTTCCTGAGGACCCATTGGGATAGTGGGGCGGTGGAGTTTTGGGTTGTGCTTCGTGGGATGGTATTCCCGGGGCGCAATATCCAGTCCAGTAACCGGCCTAAAAGTACGGTTTCCAGGGGCGCTAACCTATGTAAGTCTAGAGCTATCTGTCGCGTACACCTTTAGACTACCATGCGTCCACAACACCTTCGTTCGTTTAGGGTAGAGAGAGTGAGATAAGCATCCGAGGCTGGTATTTGTACGTTCGCAAAGTCTATCCGGTCGGATGGGGCACAGACTTTCCTCTGTAGAATCCTTGTGGACCACGCGCCGCCGCCAAGTGCCAGGGAGCCGCCGCAATCCTCCTACTCCTCATTGCCATCCTTTGTGACTAGCTCCTAGCCCTCTCCAAGCTCCGTTGAGCGATAACTGTAGTCTATGAGTCGACACCCAGCTCCGGAAGTTAGAGCAACCCATAAATACTGGCAGGGCCGCTACTCGGTGCATTTGTCGGCAGAACAGACACTCCATTGAAGTTATCTGATCCTACACATATGTCCCCTCAAAAGGGCAAACCCTCCACGCAACCCACACACGTCTTCCCCGGTCGTTCGACCGGTGTTTTACCCCTGTCCAAAGCGATCATCCATAACGACTGATGTATGCTGCGGACTAACGGTTCGACCCTCAATTGCTGTTTTTGGTGTTCAGAGAGGCCTTGGGAAGGAGAAGGATGGATCATGGGTCTTTCTCTCGCTTCCAGGGTATGAATAGATTCGCTTTGGCGGCCTTCCCAGGCAAGACTACCTAGGTAACCATGGCAGCCCATACCGACAGAACGAACTCCTTACATGGGATCTGCTGCTCCAACAATAACGTAACGCGGAAGGCTAAATCGGCCAACTTGTATGGGGATACCAATCCGTTGATGCGAAACGGCCGCTCCTAGTTTTTATAGTTGGTATTGAGCCGAGTCCGATGAGCGCCAATACCATCTTTGCCTCGTTGGAAGTGGTAGCTGAAGCCACCCAGGAGGCTTCAGCTATACAAGAGATTGTGGAAATGCTATGCTCTTCGATCCGAGCTGGTCCACTTTGAGGGCATCGTAGACAAGAGCCGTCTTTTCCGCGGTCACTAGGAAGTGGTGAGGCGCAACAAGATCCTGAGGCCAGTCTTTGTACGACTTGACCGCATCTCTTTCAGTGTGGTGCTCGACGCCGCTTCCATCATCCCCGTCGTGGAATACGAAATCGAAGACGACGATGTTGAGCCCTTTGCCCGCTGCCTCTCCGCCCCCGCCCTCGAGCCCCAAACGCGAATCCCCTACGGCTCCTCTTTCGCCAAGTGGCCCCCATTCACCAACCACTCCTAACCCATCCTCATCTACTGCCTCTCACACGCTCAGTACAACGAGATTGACCTCCCAGACTCCCTCCACCAACCCCACCGCGTCAACCAAGGCTCCCCCTTTGTTCCCACCCTGCACCTACATGTGCCCTATCTCCCTCCTCGCCCATGACAGACAACCTCCAACAAACATACCTAACTTCCCCGCAGCAATCCCCAACCACGTAGCCCACTCCCGGGCACCATCGACACCCCAAGTCCCACGCAGCTATTGACCGCAACCACCACCCGCCGGCACCTCGCCCCCACCCACATCCGCATCAACATCTCCTCCCACGTCAACCCCCCCCACCCCGCCATCACCAGGTCGCGCTACACGTCAGCGGTGGGGGCGCCGGGACTGGCACGGTTTTAAGTTTTACTGTTATAGGGGGAGGTACCGGGTCAAGGAAGGTTTAGGGGCATCGCCAAAGAGTTGATATATGGGATAATCTCCAAATTGGTGTCGAGTTCTTTCCCCCCATTATATATTAAGCCCTGATCATCTGTAACATCAAGCTGCTGAAACAAGTTCCTTGTGGTATAGTTACCATGTCCGGGGATGTTATCACTGGAGGCCATTACAGTCGTATCCTGGTGATGTTAATTCTTGAGTTCCCACATATTGCACACGATGGGGGTACATATCCGAGACAGGGGCGGTATTATCAACCTGGCAGCGGCCTGATAAGAAATCAACGTTTTGGGAATGGCCATAGACCAGAGAACCAGAGAGGTTGGGCTCTGGCCACTTTGCTTCTCGCAGGTGACGAAATCGCGGGACCCCTCTCCGTAATTATGAACCGTCCACTGTGCCTCGCAAATTTAAAGCGTTGCTGTTTGGTTAGTTAATGTTACCTTCATCGGCTCTTGTACCTCGCTTGTGCTGGCTCTTCGCAATGCCCCCAACTGACCGGACCAAATATAATAAACCGAAACTAAGATATTAGTTACCCCTCGACAAACTGAATGCTGTTAAGATATTAAATTGTTGGCCTCGGGGCTTCTGGAACATCACACCATAAAACCATATACGTCGCCCTCTTGGGGAAACGCTCGCACCGCGTTTCAGGCCGTTAGCGCGAGTGTTTCTCAAAAGGTAACCACCACAATACGCCCCGGGGACATTTGTCATGTGGCATGCTCATCGTTTATCTATCCGTATCAAGATATCGCTGGAAAACATCAAATCGTATATACATAATACAAGCATCCGAGGGAAGTAGATCAGGCACTTATTACCGAGCTCCTCCTACTTCTTACTTGCGGCGGTGGCGTCCACCCTCTCCTCTGAAAACAATCAAAACATCCAAGCACGGAGAACATTAGGTGCATTCCCCTGTGACGTTTGAGGTCAGTGACGTCTCCGTGTTTACATCAACCCACCCACGGACGATCGAAACGGACAACAACCGGATGGAGATGCACTTACGCTAGACATAACGGGATTATCCAAGCCAAGAAGACATACATCTCGACATCCCTTCTAGCTTGTTCTTCTTCATCGCACTCCGCCTTGGGCCGTAGCTCCTCACAGTCGTATCGTTGTAGGCCCGTATATGCCATCAGCACCATGATTGGGACAATGCCGCAAATAGCTACGACCATCATTTCCAGATAGACGATGGTAGTCTCTTTGATTCGGGGCACGTCCCTCGCGGGGTCGACCAGGCCTGAGATTTCGGCTAGGTCGATCATCATGGTCAAGACGGACTATTAACAAGGAAGTGTGAGTATGATGACAAGTGACAATTGGGAAACTAAGGTCTTGACAGGGGCTGGAGCAGGAGCAGGAGCGACGGATGAAGCCAATTACCGCGATGAAGGCGCCCACCATGCCTGTCCCATACCCCCCTCTTGATGTTGCGTAACTTGCGCTGGCCATTGTAGCAATGCACAACCCGACTGAGATGAAGCGTAATGAGAGATGGAGAATGGCATATGGGGCGGGATATCTCGAGCGTGCCATGGTCGGGGATGGTGTACATGGATGAGTCTGGGTCTGGGATGTCAAGAAGTGGTATTCGGTCAATTCGGCAGCGATGAGGTGATGAGATGGGGATGAAGTTGAACCCGGCGATCCCGATGCTTGGGTTTTCGCAAATCGCTCGCGAAGTGAAGCAGCAGAACCACTGTGATTGGCGCGTGGAACCCGTCACCAACCGATTGGCCAAGCAGCCCTGGAAGTGCATGGGGGAAGCTCCTCACAGCGGTATTTACGAGCCTTGCGCTCTTTGTTCAGCTTGTCTTTGGTTGCATACGTGTGCTGACAACGTGGCACAGCAGGGGCTAACATCCAACCATGCCCGGGTATAAACATTTCAGCAACCACCCAGCCCACAGTTGCACATCTGAGCCATGGCTTTTATGCTGCTGTTCTTCATACTACTCCAACCTAGGTCAACACAAAGTTGTTCTTTTTCCCTGCCCATATTATCCATCATGTCAAAGCTCGTGGGGTTCTAGCTTGCCTCTTAGCATGGCCGTATGATGTCTGGTGCACATACAGACTGGAGTTGGGGTTGGAAAATAAGGGGCCACCAGTCCTATTTAGTAACTCGCTAACTACGACACCCGATGAGTGGCGAGGTGACCACGGAAGGAATGAAGAAGATGAGAAAACAACGGGGGGGGAGTCGACCAATTTATCGGATCGGGGACGGGTCGCGCATGTCTGGGGTGGTCAGTGATACGGGCCGGCCGTGGCGCAGTCCCGGCCAAATCCAACACACAAGCGCTTGGCTCGGGGTTGGGCTTCCGATTTCAGATGCGGCGGCTTCAAACAGGCCGTTTCATAGCCAGTTGGCTTTCGGGACGGCCAACATAAGCAACTCAGAGCCCATCCCGAATCAACTGATGCTTTTCCAGCCAAACAGCTTGCTGGACCACTTCCGTACTGGACATTTCGCCCTTCTCCTTGGCCCATTTAACGATCTTTGTACCCCCCCGAGACCGCCTCCAACCCTTGCCCGGATGTTGGCCACCCCTTGAAAGCCATTACATGCGTGGGAGACCACTCCGCAAAACCACCCCCTTTGTTGTAGGCGCGTATTATTTGGGGGCGAAATGCTGCTGAATTCCCCGTTTCAGGCCACAAAATGGGTAACGGCCAGAAACAGTACCGTTTGGTCATGTTCTGTCCGCCGTGGTTCCCGCCCCGGACGCCGCGATGGCCGTCCATGGAGTCGTTCGCGATGAGCGACCGTATAAAAAAACGCATCCGCTGCCCGGAGGATCGACGGCGATCTCGAAACTTTATTTCAGTTTGTTCACGTCCTGGGAGACTGTATTAGCCAAATCAACGCCGGACCATTCCCTGAACTCTGCGAGTTCGACATCATGGAGTTCAAGCCCAATGATGCTTCCATCACCAGCGAGTCGGCGCCTCTCATTGAGCCCGTCGACTGCGAGAACGACCGGGACTTGTTCATGGTCCCCTTAAAAAGGCCGTCGCCCCGGCTGCCACCGTCCCGGTATCGAAATGTCAAAGCGAGAACACCTCCTAGATCTCCGGTCGCGCCGTCGCCATCGAGTCTCCAGAAATCCCCACAGCCCGCTTCACAACTCGTAGGTAGCCCATACATCGGCTCACCAATGTCCGGACACACTGTCAAGAAACCAGATAGCCCCCCTATGTTCACGTCACCTCTCATGTCACCAGAATCAGGAGGCGGTCTTATGTCACCTCAGGAGTCAGGGGCACTCGGCATTGACGCATCCTGAACGCAAACATGGCAACGCCAGGGTCTCTAGTCTACAACAGCCCGCCCATGTCACAAGGGAGAAACACCAAAGTGGGCTCGTCCCCCGTCATGTCGACCGAGGCCGGCTCCGCACGGCAGAGCTCTGAGCTGCAGTCCTCCAGCAAGGAGAACACCACCTCCGCCTCTCGGTCAACAGGCGACAAGCCCAACACCTCCACCAAAGCTTCCTCCGTCTACGATAGCCCGCCGGCCATCGTCGAGAAGAAGCCCGAGGGCAACGCCACCGACACCCAACAAGAAGCCACCGCACCCCCCGGCCATCCCCCCCCTCTCCGCTGCCCGCAACACCTCCACCTCCACCTCACCAAACAAGCCCGCAACCTCGGCCTCGCCCTTCACCTCTCCCCCAACCCCAACAACAACTAACACCACCACCAACCCCACAACCATCAACCCGGGCCCTGCTCACCATCCCCCAACCCCAAAATCCCCCCCACTCCCCCCGCACCCCCGGCAACAACACCAACCACCCCAGCCCCAACAACGCCAACACCACCCCCCTGGCTCGTGCCCGACTCCCCGCTCGAACGGCTCTCCCAACTCCGCGCGACCCCCGACTCCGCCTACGACCGAGCCCGGCAGATGGAAGTGCGGCGGTCGGAATGGAAGCACGTGGTGTACCGGTTCCCCGTCAAGGGCGCCGAGCACTGGGTGATCGACGCCGACCTGACCGAGAGCTCGCACGCGCGCCTGGCCGACGTGGCGCGCCGGTCGAGCGAGGGGTTCGAGTGGAATGGGGATTATGAGCTGGCGAATATTTATCGGGTGTTGGCGGTCGCGCATACGAGGGTTATGGAGGAGATGCGGGGCGAGAGGAGGGGCGTGCGGGCCGCGGCTTGATTGATGATGGGAGGGGGGTGTGGGTTTGGATTTTTTGAGCTGTGTTTGGGGTTGGGAGCAGGGCCTAATGCCTGCTAGCAGCACAGTGTTTGGATTGCGTTAGATTGTTTGTTAGCGGCGTTGGGAACTTACTTGGGACGGCCGAGCATAAGAATGGCATTAGATAGCGAGGAATTGCAGCGTTTGTTTCTTCTTTGCATGGTAATCTCGGTTCCTCTTTTTACGTGATAGGAACACCAGCCTCAAGAATGAGGGTTTGATAACCGGACAACGTGTGTCTTTGAGAAGTTGAGCAAGTCTCGGGAGAGAGATAGCATACCCTAAGATGGCACCTAGATCCCGGAATTAGGAAGTCGACTCAGAATTAAGAGGTCCCCTACCATCCTTATTCAACAGGAGTAAGAACTGGCCCAGTCCTATCGCTCTCTTCGCCGTTTCCAATGGTATAAGCTTTCCAACCTGCCTTGGGAAGATCAAGCGTATCGTCCTTTGCCAAAAACTTCATGAACACGCCATGTGTGACCACAACAATGGCCCTTTTCGTCTCGGGCACACCACCATCTACCAGGTCCCTAGCCAACGCCTGAAGCCTTTCCCTCACGGATCTAGCACGTGCAGCAACGGCTGCATCATTGGCTGCGTGCGCGCCCTCCTTGACATACCACTCTTCCGCGAGAGCGCTGACATCCAGACCCGGAAACCTGGCCCTGAGAGTCCCAATGTCGGAGCCCGTATCACAGGGCAGGTCACTGCGCTCCTGCAGATCAGGATCGAGAATAAGCCTCGCAACGCCCTCCCTGCCACCAGTTTCGCCTCCGATACTCTGATCGACAATGGCGCCGAAACCTGCAATGGTGGTCTCGATGGCCCGAGTCAACGGCGAAGTGAGGACGATGGCGATGGACGAAAGGGCTGGGAATGAGGCAAGAGATGCCGCTTGTGTAAATCCAAGCTCGGTAAGGCCAGGGTCGCGGAGGTTGAAGTCTTTGGTCACATTGTGTACCGACTCAGCGTGGCGGACGAGATACACCGTGGACGACATATCGCTTCGTCGTCGTTGCTTAGAACTGGGCAAGGAGTGACGGTGAGGCTTTTTGATTCGGATTTCAAGAAAGCTGTCCGTTCAACGTTCACGGGCTCCAGCTAGATATACCAACCAGGTCAAGTGTAAAACTTCTTGTTCTAGCCCCCGAATCTAGCACGCCATTTTGGGGCGTCTTGACGTCTCAACGGCGCGGGGCGATTGGCCACAACCACTGCTCACCCTCCGATGACTGGCAGTACTTCTTCCAATAACTTACAGAGTTGATACTCCCTGTTTCCATAATCCAATTATTTCATAGATAGGCTAACAACCATTCTGTCAGTGGGAATGGATCACCGTGAGCCCCGACAAGCAAGGGGCACAATCATACTGGATCCATTTCATGGTGGGGATCACCGGCCTTCTCGGCCAGGGCGATAGATGTTGCCGATGACTCAAGAACGTCCGACCGACGAGAAACAACTCCGACTCCCAAAGGAGTCCTGAAAGCCCTCGGCAGGTGTTTGGAGATGTGAAAAAGTGCGCTTGGCAATGATCATGAAAATAGATGAGTTGAGCCCAGCGCCGGACATGAAGTCTCCTCTTATCTTACCGGGCGGGGGGGGGGGGGGAGGGGTGGGTGCGAGCCTCAGAACAGCCTGATACCTTTCCCAGGCGTGAAAGTCTCTGAACAAAGCGGCAGCAGAACCTCATGCCGAATGGCAGTTGCTTTTTCAAGCAGACATACCTCAGACAGGTCAGTAAACCCCACGTTTTCCGGCTGCCCTCGTCGCGAACATTAGCCACGTTTGGAGTTTACCGTCAGCTACCTCTCTTGTGCGACTTTGGGCGTGAAGCCACAGTGACGCCCGTTTCTGGTCCACCACTGATGGTTCGTACCAACTTAGGTGGTTGATCGATTGCGGAAACCATGGAAGAGAGGGGTGCAGCCTCCCTGCCCCTGGAATATTGCGCCGGCTCTGTGGCCCTGTCTTCTACCGCCGAAGGCGCCAACTACAACTGTTACCCATCGTCACCCGTCGGAAAAGAATTTTACGTTGTTTCGACCGCAGCTGCATAATGGGTTGTCAGCCTGAGATGCCTAGATCGGTTACGTTGCACATGCAGGCATTGGAAGCATTGTGGGAATCGGCTGTCCCAGAAGGAAGCCTACCTAAAAAGAGTCCTTGGTTGGGATTTGAGAATAGGCAGCTACCCCGCTTTCAGTTTCAGCCCGCTGCGGTAGGCTCTTAACTGTGTCGAGATTTGAGAAACACAAATTCGGCCATGAACAATGTCATGACCACTCTTTTACACTCGATCAAGCCCCTCACAACCAGACAAGACTTTCAGAAACTTGGGATAAGGCCAGTGGGTGCGTGCATCATCAGGGAGGAAGTGTGTAAGCAATTTCCACGGGACATGACATCGGTAAAAACACGACCGCGGCTCTGTTTTTGACCTTTGCTTTGCTAGCATTACCTCTCTACCTGCCTCAACATTGGTATGTTCAATTGATTACATGTGAGGATCGACGAGGACTTTCGCTTTAATGCGTCCTCGGTACTTACTTTCCTGCTCCCTTTCTGCACCACCAAAAATAAACCACCTATATTCTAAACATTTTCGTGGGTAGTCGTCAGGACGATAAGCCGTCATCGGCGAGCTCATCGCGACCACGTACACCTCCCCGAAGGGTGCCAGCCCGCAGAACATCACCCTATATTACCAGGACGACCATGGGCGAATCAGGCTCTGGGTCAGGATTGGGAAATGGACGGGGACAGGCGTCCGCCCTCCCAGGTTTCCAACAGACCTCGACGGGGACTTTCAACTCGCCACCAAACTCACGCGAGGCACTCAGGGAGGTAGCCCGGGAAACCCAAGAGGTTATCGGCCGCATCCTGGAGCAGCTCAGCACGACCGAAAAGGCGGAATCCTCCTCCCAATACAACCTCGACACCCTCCGCCGCCTCAACCCCTTCTTCTGCCCGGCCTTCTCCACCCCCACCAAAATCCAAGTCCTCAACGAAGACACCCTCAACGCCGGCCTCGCCCTCCTCCCCTCCACCACCAACCAAGACCCCTCCACGACAACCCGCGCTCCTTGGTCGTCAACTTCGCGCGCCACGACAAGCCCGGCGGCGGGTGGCTCAACGGCGCACTCGCGCAGGAAGAAGCCCTCTGCTACCGCAGCTCACTCTGGAAATCCCTCCCCTACACAGCGCAACACCCCCTCCCGCGCGGTGACGCCATCTACAGCCCCCACGTGATGGTCGTGCGCGACGAGCTCGGCCGCGGCCACCGGCTGCTCCCCGGCATCCGGCCGCTCACGGCGCCGCCCCCCCTCGTCAGCGTCGTCAGCATCGTCCGCCCTGCGCAACCCGCGCACGCAGACCTTCCGCCTCGCGGGCGGCGCGCGCAAGACGGTGTTTCAGTCGGATACGGATCGGGATTTGACGAAGCGCAATATGCGGCTTGTGCTGCGCATTGCCGCGCATCATAGGCATCGCCATTTGGTGTTGGGTGCCCTGGGGTGTGGCGTGTATGCGAATCCGCCGGAGGATGTGGCGCATTGTTGGTTGGAGGTGTTGCGGGAGGATGAGTTTTCCGGGGGTTGGTGGCAGCAGATTTGTTTTGCCGTGTTTGATCCGAGCGGGACGGGGAATTATGAGGTGTTTATGCGGGTTTTGCACGATCAGAACGTGTGAGTGAGTCTATGTCTTGTGGCTCTTGTTCGGGGATGTGGATGGTGATGCCAGGAGGGAAGGGGGGGCGCGTGGCGGAGGGGCTGAGAGGAACATCAGCTGGTTCCTGTATCATAATACAGTTTGGGAATATTAGGTCGTTGCAATCTGATGCTAATTCCTTGCGTCAGGGGTGGTTTTGTTGAAGCGGGATTGAGGCTTGGTCAATACCTATCCACCGCCACCTTTGACACAAGTCTTGGTCTCACCAGACAAATTGATTCAAGTTCAATACGAACTCCATTTGCCCATTTTTACATCCTTTTCTGAACCCAAATGTGGTAATTACGTACATTGATCGATATGCACACTTCGTCATACACCTATCATCCATTCTCGCCCCCGATCCAGAGAGACCCCATCTCTGACACCTCTCTCCCACAATCAACTCCTAAATCCGCTCAAGAGAAAAGTCCTTGGGCCCAACATAAGCCTGGTAGTTGCCCGTCGGCGTGACCCCCTCGATCATCTTGATCTGCTCGTTGGGGATGAAGTGTGAGCCCCTGGTGTAGCTCAGGCGCGAGACCTGCACGCTGACGATGACGGTCAGGCCCTCCTCGCTCCGGACGATGTCGAAGGTGCGCGACGAAGGCGGGCAGGCGCCGCCCTGGATTTCGGGCAGGATGGCCACGCCGGCGCCGGGGGCCGACGCGCTGCAGTCGTACCCTTGGGTGTCCATGGTGCCGGGCATGAATGCGTTTAGGGAGTAGCTAAGGGAAGGGGGAGGTCGGTGTTAGCTGCATGCGTGTGCTGATTGATGGCTTCTGACTGGAAGTTGTGATACGTACTGGCACATGGCACTGTGGGGGACGCAGCTGGCGGTGAAGTTGCGGGCTTCGAAGACGACGTCGCGCTTGGTGACTGCGGCGGCGGAGGCGGCAGTGGCCATGGAGAGGAGTGACAACTTCATTTTGGCGGTTTTGCGATTTGTTAGGTACCTGGGGAGATAAGCTCGTGTGGTGTTGATGTCCTGGTTTTCGAATTGATACAAAGAATGAGGATTTCGGAGGGAGTGGTTAGAAGCTTAATACTTGTCGACATGGTGCCGAATCACCGGCTCGCGTTCCATTAACCCGCGGCATTAAGCCAGTCCAGTGGGACGATTGCATGGGGAAGAAGTTGGTAATTGGTGGAAATCCCCGTGCCTGTGGTGTTGTTGTGGCTCCGCGCAGTTGTTAGCGAGGACCCCCTTGACCCCGTATCGCTAGCCAAGGATCAGACCAAGCTGTGATCTGGAGATAGCGTTGCAATATGTCGTATTATCAGCCGCAAGGTCAAGCGCCGATCCTTAAGGTACGTCATACGGCTGCGACTCGCTTGCACCAGTCTCCAGTAATGCTTGAACACCTGCCGGAACGGGGAATCGATGCGTACATGGAACGATGTACAAAGGGGTTATAAATAAGGGAGGCACAGCGTCAGGCTCTCACGGACCCACAGCAGACCAAGATTAGCTTCGAGGTGCCGAGCGTGCGATTCGCAAGCCCGGTGGTCATCTGCGACGGCGCCGGGACCCCGACGCCACAGTCGGCTGCCGGGCCAGCGCCAGCCACCCCTACCAACCCCGCGGCCACCGCCACACCCGAACAAACCGGCGGCGAAGGAGACGAAGACGAAGCAATGGATTCGATCACCGTCGCAGAGGATGATATTTAGAATCCTACTCTGGAACACGGAAGGAAACAAGCAAGCACTGGAGGTCTTGTTAGAGGAAGCCAAGTACGACCTCCTGGCGGTGCAGGAGCCATGGATCAACAGGGAGACGAAGTCTACGTACTGCCCCCGGAGCAGCAAATACCACCTGGTGTTCAAGCTCGAGGGGCGAGCAGCGATATATGTGAGCAAGAAATTCGAGATCGGGCAGTGGGACTCCGAGGTTTCGGAGAACTGGTGTCGCGTACGGTTCCCAGAGGCGGACCTAGGCCAAGAAGGCCACGGGCTCGAGCTATGGTCCGTCTACAACCCCCCCAACGGTGAGAACGTACCGCAGGCCCTCCAGGGACGGCCGAGGCCAGACCACCCAGTAGTTCTGGCGGGGGACTTTAACCTGCAGCACCCGCTGTGGGACGAATTCGGACGCTACGAAAGGGGAGCCGAAGATCTGTTACAACTAAGCTCCCTGTGGGACCTTACCATCAGGACGCCGAGGGGAGCAGTTACGCGAGCTCCCCAGGGGCGGCAACGAGGCCGCACGTCAACCATCGATCACTTTTGGGCCTCGGAGTGCATTCATACGGTATACTACGGGGAAGAGTGCCGTGGCAAGTCAGACCACTACCCGCAAATGCTCGAGATTGGGACAGGGACTGGGCCGAGGCCGGCCCAACCAGTGGGATGGGCCTGGAAGAAGATGGATAGGGGAAGGGCGAAAGCCGAATTAGCACTGCTCTGCGAGGCGATGGGCCTCACAGACCCGGGGCCAAATGGACTGGTGGCTAGAATCCGGACGACCGAAGGTCTCGGCAGAGCATTCGACAACCTAGTCGAATGGCTCACCTGGGTCGCTGGTGAGAGCACCTCTACGGAAGAAGGCCAATTGCGGCTTCAGCTCTTCTTTGGTGGACCAGGGAAGTGCAACAGGCTGCCCGGGAGGCTAGGAGAGCCGAGAGATTGGCCAAGGAGACCCGGGCAGAGTACTGTTGGGAAGAGCTCCAGCGAGAGGCTCAAGGACCTCGCCAGGACAACCCGCGAAGCACGGACGAGGGCTTGGAGGAGCGACCTGCAGAAGGCAAGCGAGGCGAGAAAACCTGACCAGATGTGGAGCCTGGAAAGATGGGCCAGACGACGGAGCTTTCTACCGCCTGAACCACCGAAACTACCGGCATTCAAGAATCCGTCTGGGCAAGTGACGGCTGAAACGCATGACCAGAAAGCCAACGCCCTGGCCGAGAGGTTCTTCCCGAGCCCCCCGGCCAATCTCACAGACGTGCAAGACCAAACCTTCCTGAACAGCCGGGACCCGGGCTTCGACGTCTCACAGGCAGTGAAGCCGGCCGAGATCACGAGGGCGATAGGAGGAGCGAGCCCCTGGAAGGCGCCAGGCGAGGATTTGCTCCCGATGGGCCTTCTGAAGGCGTGCGGAGCACCGTTAGCTGAAGTGCTGGCCCTTCTGGCGACAAGGTGCCTGGAGCTAGGATGGTTCCCCAACCGTTTTAAGAGGGCGAAGACTGTAGTACTGCCGAAACCAGGAAAGGCTCCGCCGGTGTATCAGACCCCTGGGGGATACAGGCCCATTGCTCTGCTACCAACCCTGGGGAAAGTAATAGAATCGGTGGTCGCCACGAAGGTCACCCTAGCGGCAGAGGCCAACGGCCTGCTCCCAGACGAACAAATGGGAAACAGGGCACACCGCTCCACGGAGCTAGCTGTCCGGCTAGTGGTAGCCCAGGTCCAGGAGGCGTGGAGACACAAGGGTGCGGCGTCTCTATTGCAACTGGACATTTCAGGAGCCTTTGACACGGTCAACCATACCCGACTGCTAGCAACTCTGCGGGAAATGGGCTACCCGAGGTGGCTGGTCCTCTGGATAAGAGACTGGTTGACCGGCCGAGAGGCCACCCTCCTTTTCGACGGCAAGGCAGCGACCCCAACGGCGATTCGGGCAGGGGTCCCCCAGGGCTCCCCGCTTTCACCGGTCCTTTTCATTCTCTACATTGCCTCTCTATACAAGCAGCTGAAGGACGAACATCCCCACTTGGCTATTGTGGGGTTTGCGGATGACACCAACCTCCTGGCTTTCGGCCGAAACCCCGAGGTTAACATCCGGCAGCTGGAAGGGGCATGGGAAACGTGTCTACGATGGGCGGAAAGTCGGGGGATGAAGTTCGCCGCGGAAAAGAGCGAACTCATCCATTTCAACAAGGGGCGACGACAGTGGATCCAAACAGGTAAACCTTACTAACACAGGGGGAGGCACTAGCCCCGTCAAACCAGAAGGGTCTGCCAGATTGCTGGGAGTCTGGCTGGACTGGAAACTCAACTGGAAGGCTCACCTGGTGGCGGTGGAGAAGAAGCTGAGGACCCAGAGCTATGCCTCTGTCGAGGATCGTGGCAAAGACGTGGGGAATGGGGCTAGTCTAAAGCACGAGAAGTATACACAAAGTGCATCCGGTCGGCGCTGGCCTATGGCGCATCATCGTTTCACATCCCCACGGATGTGGGAGGCGATAAAGAAAGGCATCACCAAGGCCCTCGGGAAGGCCCAGAACAAGAGCTTGCGGATCGTGGCGGGAGCCTTTAAGTCTACCCCAATCCGTAACCTCGAGACAGAGACGTGGGTCCCACCATTGGACTTGTACCTAAACAAACGGCTTGCCGATTTCGAAAACCGATTCCAACGACCCGATCTGGACGACGTCAAGGCGGCAAGAAGACGGCGGCGAACGTTGTCCTCTCCACCTGCCGCAAGATACAGCAGAGACTTAGCTCGAGGAGGGGCAACAGGGGCCGACCGCGAACCTTGGGACCCCAAGGGCCTACGGCGGTGGAGAGAGCCGCGGGCACGGTCATGCGCTGGACGGGGGGAATCGTCGATACGGACAGGGTAGTAGAAGAGGCCTGGAGAGCGAGGTGGTTAAAGGAACGGGACGGCAGAGCAATTACCAGGCCGGCGGACGACTTTGACCATCAGCGGGAGACGCTATTCCGGAACGAAACCCTAAGGAGGCACGACGGTCTCAGCAAGGCGAAGAGCTCACTGCTGATTCAAATCCGGACGGGAGCAATAGGCTTACGGGACTTCTTGTTTACACGGGGAGTCCCGGAGGTTCTGACTCCTGCCTGCGAGTGTGGCGAGGGACGAGAGACTGCCGAACACCTGGTAGTGTGGTGTTTGGCCCCACCGTTGACTAGAAGATGGGAGAGAACTGGAATTCGGACACGACGGGACTTTTACTCTGTTCTACACGGTATCAATCCCACAACTGCACGGCTCGCGAGGAGAGTTCTCGACTGGCTGATGGACTCGGGGAAGCTGCCGATGTACAGCTTAGCCAGGAGGCTCGAGCTGGAAACGGCGGCCTGAAGCGCCCCCGTTCGGAGGCCAGGAGGCCTCCTCTCTTTGTATATGTAGGCTCACTAAAACGCATCGCTCCTTGATTGTTGGTATGGGTTTTTCACCCGGCCCGGGAGGGCACGGTTTTCCTGTACACTAAATAGCAGAGGGTCTGGCACGCCCTAGGGCATAGCGGAGTATGAATAATAATATAAAAAATTGCTGGCGTCGCTTCGTTCGTCAGTCGCGCGGCCCTTCGCTACGCTACGGGGCGCTTCCTTCCTCTCTCCCGCTCCTGGCAATTTTCCTGTCCCTCTCCGGAGGACAATCGGGGTTAGGGTTAATTACGGGAGAGACGAAGCGCCAATATCTGTCCGTCGGCCAACAACTCCATCTACTTGAGCCATCTACGAATCGTTTCTATCCCGCCACTCACGTTACGTATCTACACTCACGTCCTCGCTACTTACAAATCAATTAGACTCTGATGGAACCTTCCCCCGCCATAGCATCTAACGCCTGCAGTTGCCTGGTAGCGTGATCGGACAACTTCAACCCCATAGCTGGTGATGGTGTCTCGCGGTAGATCTCTGCTGCGTTCGAAGGGCCGCTCAAACATCAGCCCGCCGAGTGTCTTCACCCTGCGAAACGGCCACGTAGGAGAGGCCAGAAGCAAACTCTGGCGCAGAGATGTCGCAGACAACCTTGTCCAGGGTGATGCCCTGTGACTTGTGGACGGTGATCGCATAGCTGACCAACAGCGGGAACTGCTCTGTTGAACATGAGTTGGCGCCGACCATGAAGTCCTGCCGCACTCGGAGGATGGGAACAGCCAGCTTCTCTCCACTACGGAGCGGCTCCCCGTTCGGCATCGTGAAGGCCGGGCCGTCGTAGTCATCGAAGGCTACTATGATGACCTCGGGCGGGTCTCGCAGCACGTCGGCACCTTCTTTCCAGGATATGTCGTAGACTGTGCCCTGTGCGCCGTTGACGAGCCCGACGTCGGCCCACAAATTTCGCGTCAGCATCACCCTGCAACCAACACACAAGGGCAAGCGCTTGGCCAAGTTGCCGGCATTTGAGGATTCAACCTTCTCCGCACCAACACCCTCATGCTTTGCCTCGACCTGAATGGCGGGGCTGTCCAGGCCAAGCATGTGTTGGTGGTTGTACTCGACGACCTGGGTCTTGGTGGGATAGATGCGAAGCGCATCAGCAAAGCTGTCAACCTCCTCGGGAGAGAGCTTGACAGAGCATCTCGAAGCGAGGAGCTCCCAGGAGGATACCGACACATCAGCCTTTCGCAGTTCTTCCAAGGCCTCGCTCGGAAAGGAGCCTGGTCTTCGCCCTGCTGCCGCTGTATTGTGGTCAGGAACACGGACTTGTCGAACGAGAGGTATGCGTTGCGCCCGACCATCTCGATATCCTTCAGGTCGTCGCGCGTTGAATACAGCGGCTTGTTCAGAACAGGGGGAAGCTGGAAGAAGTCCCCGATCAGGATGACGCTGAGGCCGCCGAAGAACTCGTCGCGATTCTCCGGGAACACCTCTCGTAGGCGCTGGTCGATCCACGCGAGGGTCTTGAGGCCGAGCATGCTCTTCTCGTCAATCACGAGGTAGTGGATGCCCCTGAACCGCCGCTGCAAGGCGTTGAGGGTCGTCGGGGTCTCGGAGAGCGAGCGGTAATTTCCGTCGACGGGGAGCCGCAGAAGGGAATGCAGAGTCTGTCCCCCTATCTGGTTGCTCGCCACGCCCGTCGGGGCCGCCCTGACAATGGGGGAAACTCGGCCATAGGAAGCTGCCTCGGCCTGAAGATGAGAAGAGATCACCTTCACCATGTACGACTTTCCAGTCCCACCTCCTCCGTCGATCTGTAGACGAAGGGGCGGAGGCTGACGGTTCTCGTTCTTGGCTCTGTAGTGGCGCATGACCGTGTCGTATACCTGCCGCTGCTGCGTGTTCAACGTGTCACGGGCTGCGAGGGGGCATCTCTTCCACGTCGTAATTACTTGGAGCGTCTCCACGGAGTTGCACCCAGTAACCTCCGGTACCAAACTGGTCGTGCGAGTAGCGACCAATGTGTCGTGTCCAGTCGCAATTGACATCAATGTCTCGGCGTCCAAGCAAGTCGGCTGGTTCTTCGGGAAGTTGGAGGGCGGGGACCAGCCGGGCCACCTCCTGCCAATCCTCAAGTGTGATGTCCCCAGCATCCTCCCCTCGCTCGAATTCATCCTTCTTCCGGCAGCGGATCGGGCTCGTCGACAGTACCGTAGTGGTCGTCCTGGTGGACGTGGTGCTCGAGACAGTAATGATATGCGGAAGTGTAGTTGTCAAACTGCAGATCATCAACCTCGAGCAATTGTTCCGACTGGCGATGGGGGTGGTTCAGGAGCAGCTTGACGCGGCAGAAGTCAGAGTACTGCTGATGGGAACGGACCGGCTTGTACCGGGGGTAATAATACAACACCCTGGGCATTGCAGGAGGCTGCCAGATCGCCCACCTCGCCGGATTCCGCGCCTTGAAGTTCCAGTCTTGCAGGAACTCAAAGTAGGAGACGTCATCCATTGAGCCAGGCCGCCGAAGATACTTCTCGTATGCTGTCTGAGACTCCTGGATATCGCCATCAGCCGCGATGTCGATTGGGGCGAGCATGCCTCTCGCGGAGGTCTACAGTCAACACTCTGGACCACTCGGCTATCCTCTTGGAGAGAGAGTCCCAGGAGGATATGGCAGATCTCCTGCGCAGAGTAGTCCCTTTCTCCGATTAGTTTGTTCATCAACTTCGACACGAACGAAACTATCGGGTTATTGTCTGATATGTGGGGCAGGATGTTCTGTGCAATCTGCGCATATGTGCTGGTCTGGGCCTCAGACTTGCTGCAATATTTTGCAGCATAGTTGATTCGACAGCCTCCACACTCGTGCAGGGCGAGCAGTCTGTATTGGCCAGCCAGCATAGAGACACGAGCGGATTGTACTGGTTCAGGTGGGTATCGTTGCGTTCGGCTTCGAACGACCACCAGCCCTTTCCAGGCCTCTTGATGACCTCGGCAGCCTCTCGGACAGGCCGGGGGAAGAGAAAACGACACGTGGGCTCTGGCGCTGGCTGCTCTCCTCCAGCAGTCTCCCCGGCCGCCTCTGCGACCTCAGCTCTATCTCCAGCCTCTCTAGCCCGCCGGGCATCTTTCTTCGTCACCCGAAGACAGTAAGTCGTCGAGCAATGGTGTCGCTGGCAGCGGTTGACAATTCTGTTCAGCCACTCCCAGGTAACGTCCGTCTCTAGAGAATCAACAGATAAAGGGTTACCCTCGTCAGCACCATGATCTCGCTGCGGGTTCACAGCTGTGACGTGGTATCCCCAGATCTTTGCGAAGTGCTTTCTCGACTCAGGAGTTTCCATATCAGGAGGGGGGCTCCCATGGAACCAGTAGAGCCCATGGGAATGGCTAGCTGCTTAACGTCGGGGTTTGCGAAGGCTGCACGCCATGGCGTCGTTCCACGCGGTGGCGTCGCTGGATTGTCAATCGTTGATCCCGAGCGGCTGCCGTTTCCGGGGTATCTGTAAGAACGCGGACCCCTTTCGTGATACATGGTAGCAAGGACGCCGTGGGTAAGGTTTCCGTCGAGGCCCAGGCGTAAGCAACCGGTGCGAAAGGAAGGGGAGAATTTTCTCCGCGGGCGATTGCGCGAGAAATCCCGATGCTCGCTCGCGACGCTTCAATCTGCGAAGGTTAGCTGAATCGAAACGACTATCGTTACCTTAACTAGGGATATCACATGAAGCTTCTTCTTGTGCCGGCAACTTAGACAGTTGACAACAATCCTTCCGTTCCCGCGGGCATCGAGGAACTGGTCAATGTTCTGCTCAGTATTGCATTTGGTACACGACTTGCGTGTCACGGCTGTCTCCGCAGCGGCCTCGGCAGTGCCGCCCAGAACGACTATCACGTCTTCCATGGAAAGGCCTGGGTTTGAAAAGCGGTAGACGTGGAAACGGCGAGAACCGCGATGTTCGCGATTGTCGAGCGGATTGCGAGGACACGGAGATGAAGCAGTTTCGGCAGAGCCAATGAGGCACGTGACCAAAATCGAGTGCAGCGTGCTCACGAACCAATCGGCCATCGCGATAAGGATATCAATTCCCAGAGTAATTTTTGCTTATCAATTTCCCATAGTAATTTTTGCTTATCAATTTCCCATAGTAATTTCCAAAAGTTTGAGCGCAATATTGTCCTCCGGACAGGATAAGGGAGTTCAGGAGTGGGGGATTAGGTACGAAACCCATCAGCAGCATTTGTGTCACGGGCACAGCCCGTTCCTTGTAAGGGTTAGGGTTGCACGGCTGAGCCCCGAGGTGGGGGTTCTGGTGGTAGGGCTGTACGTGGCTCTGCGCTGGTCTGTGCGCAGCCACAGGGTTTTCCCTGAGCGCGCCTCGCCTCCCACATTCGGTTCCTCGTGCAACCACACAATATACCAGCTTGCCCCTACCACGGTGATTCTAACCGTGATAGTTGGTTGCACCTCCAGTTCGCGTGTGCAGCAGTAAGCGCTACGAGAGCGACTTGCAGCTGCGTCGCGCGGACCACCGCTGGCATTGTTGAGACTATGCAGAAGGACGCGACCGGCCGAGAGTTCCTCAAGATCATTGAAAATGTGGTCGGCACACAGAACAGCCGATACAAC